TCGTTGTAACCAGTGGTGTAGTGGAGGATACATGCAGGTATATGGGATATACCCACTTCTTTTTCTGTCCGTTAACGGTATAACCACCTATCAACCACCTAAAAGCCACTGGAATATATAGGCCAGTATACCCATGTGCTCCCGTTTAATGACACAGCCTAGAATTGGTCGGACAGATGTATGGGTGGGAACTCGAGAAATGACGTCACCAGTACAAGATGGCAGCAGCAATACCCTGGATATTTTGGCTTCATTTTTGTACAGTTGGAAGAAGCAGAGACATGTTGCCCATCCTTATAAACAGTCTATGGATTAATTGAACTTGAAGTTTTAACCCCAAATGTGCTTCTATATTCAATTTTGAAGAAAATTCCTTTTCTGAAATATCTGAAAGCAAAACCATCACAGCTCTGATTTGCACCACCGCAGTTTGCTGTCTGTCCGTCTGTCTGTGAGAGACCTTTTACCTGCACGTGAAACGTGAGAACGACAGAATATTTTCTGCGCCGGTCATTGACCTTCTGTGTTGAAAGTGTAGAGCAATACTTCAGTTTGATATGCATTGCCATTACAATGGAATGACGAAGAGTACAAACTTCTAAAATTCTATTTTATTTGAGGACAGTAACATGTAGGGATGCACCGATACAGATAAAATATAATAATCGGACAAAATTCCCTTTATCGGGGTCACATATGGCAAAACTAAACCGACACACAGAAGAATTCCCTGTAACAAATATGAGCTATATTTCAATTATTCTATCCAGTGACAACAAAGTAATGGTGGAGCTTTAAATTGTTCTGTCACAGTAATGGATGGAATCAATACTCAGTTTTGGGCAAAACTTTAGAAACCAGAATCTGCACCATGAGTGAAAAATGGGCATCGGTGCATCCCTAGTACCACAAATTCATTATGACTCACTGCAGCGTTTCCTTCCCTGCAGAAAGCTCCGGAAGGAATGACTATCGACTCATCTTGTAGTACCTCTGGAATGAATCAATGCTGTCTGGGCTTACATTAAGAATTAATGGCATTCTCCTACACACACCAATAAAGACAAACACACACACTATTCAGAGGGCAGGTTCATGTTTTTAAATAAATGAAATGAGGTGATTTTGGTCAGTAATGTGCATCAGTCTTCAGATACGATGACACTGTAGCATCTAACTTCAAGTGGTTGCTGATTGATGTGTCTGAGTTCATGTTCATGAGAGTGGTATGTATATCCGTCTGTGTGTATAACCGTGTGTGTGAATTTGTCTTCCATCCCCTACACAGCCAAAGTCAGCCCAGACAGACATTATTTTCACATTACTGAGTGAGCTTCTTTTTTTTTCCTTTCACGTATATTTACAGGCAGAAAAACCAGGGCCTTTCCTTCTGTATATTCACTTTCCATCTGTTTATCATTAACACTGGAAAGAGAGGAGGAAGAGGAGCCAAAATAAAAATGCACACAGACGTATTCAGAGATTCACAGGCTGAGTGGCTCCTGTTTTAAGCTATGCTTCCTACACTGGCAACAAAAAAGAAGGTTCAATTATTTTGGCATCGATGCTTTGGTAACAAAATACCGACACGTTTTATTCTTTTGTTTGTTTTCACTTTTGTTTTCATTTGCTCGTTTGTTCTTGAAATAAGTCCCAGTCATTTTACACCCTGACCACGTGTGTGTGTGTCCGTACAGAAAAAAGGTAGGTTTGTTGTAGTCCTGTCATCGCACCTCCGATGCAGTCCCTTTAAGAGGCACAGATTCTCTTATAAATTATGTGACTGTGAATGAGTGGGCAGGGGGGTTTGAGAAGGAGGGGTGCCCCCTGTGCCCCCACGTCCCCCCCGCACTCCCTTTATGCCCAGTGAGTACGTCCCGTCACCCCTTTTGCGAGCACGTTCTGCAGCACAGTTGCTGCAGCACTTTCCTCTGACAAAGATTGTTCTTTTTAACGAGCACGCAGAAACTGCCTTCCGCCCAAGATTCTTCATTTGCTTTCCACAGACCAGGAAGAAGAGATACAAGGGGAGTTTGGAAGGAGGGGAGTGGGAAGACACGCACACACACACACACACACACACACACACACACACAGGGCAGAACCATTAGAAATGGTTGAGTGGGAGGCAGAGCCGTGTGATTGGTCAGGAGAAGGTTCAGGTGACAGGAAGAGTTTTTTGATCCAATCACAGGTGATGTTCATCGAGGCGGAAAATTATTGTTGTCCAGAGGAGTGATTGGATCCACATCGGGAGAGAGGGAAAACAGATTTGGGAGAAAAACAGAGAGAGAGAGAAAAAAAACAAACATCACACAATTAGCAAATTGAAGGTTTTTTTGAAATTCACATCTTCGTGTATCACAGAAAACTTAAAGCGAACCACCCGTCTGTCCAAACTGTGAGCCAATCAGACACTTTTTTTTCCCGGTCACTTTGGTTTAGGGAGGTTGGAAACAGACGGAGTGTGCACTTTAAGTAGTCATCATCAACAGAAAGGTCAAACAGCAGACATTTTTTCTCCTCAGAGCTTTATCTCATCACTGCAGACTTTTTGTTTTTTTTAAGGAGAAGGTCATGACTAGCATGCAGTCGAAGCCTCATAATAAGACCATCACCTCAGGCAGTTAGTGAGAGACAGGAATATTTACACTGAAAGATCCATAAGCCAAACATGCAGAATTCGGAAAACACTAGAAAATAAAGCAAAGACAGAAACAAAGGATGCGAGCATAGCGCAAGTAAAGATCTGAAAATTACTGTAAAGAAGCAGATTAAATGGAGCACTACAAAAAATAAGAAAAATGTGAGTGTATGTTGATTCTACAAGAAACCTTTGAGCCAAGGCAACATGACAAAGTACAGTAAAAACACCAGAAGAAAGTATTGGAGTTTTTGTTAAAACGAGAAGAATGTGCGAGTGTGTAATCCCAGAGAGGTTTTATATTAGTAATATGCAAAACATGAGTGAGACCTTCAGATAAAGAGCACAAAAGGCAAAAGCAAGGACAGAGCGCCCTGCTGCTTTGGAGCAGTTTGATTCAAGACGTTAGAACAAAGCTCAAACATTTAAAAGAAGGCCACAGGTGAATCCTTAGCCTTTACTTAATAAAGATATCTTTTGAATTAATTCTTTATACCCGGTGGGATATAACAAACTTGAATTCATCTGGAGATGCAAAATAGTCTCAGGGAGAGTAGAGCCTTTGGCTCTTTGATCAGCTGAGATTGTTTCGACCACAGTTTGTGTACTTCTGAGAACATTTTGAAAAAATACTGCTGTGAATCAAATTGTATTACACTGAACAAAAATATAAACGCAACACTTTTGTTTTTGCTCCCATTTTTCATGAGCTGAACTCAAAAATCTAAAACATTTTCTATATACACAAAAGACCATTTCCCTCAAATATTGTTCACAAATCTGTCTAAATCTGTGTTAGTGAGCACTTCTCCTTTGCCGAGATAATCCATCCCACCTCACAGGTGTGGCATATCAAGATGCTGATTAGACCACATGATTATTGCACAGGTGTGCCTTAGGCTGGCCACAATAAAAGGCCACTCTGAAATGTGCAGTTTTATCACACAGCACAATGCCACAGATGTCCCAAGTTGAACCACTGAGCCAGCCATTGAAGAGGAGTGGACCAACATTCCACAGGCCACAATCAACAACCTGATCAACTCTATGCGAAGGAGATGTGTTGCACTGCGTGAGGCAAATGGGGCCCCCCCCCCCAATGAAGCAAAACTGCACATTTCAGAGTGGCCTTTTATTGTGGCCAGCCTAAGGCACACCTGTGCAATATTCATGTTGTCTAATCAGCATCTTGATATGCCACACCTGTGAGGTGGGATGGATTATCTCGGCAAAGGAGAAGTGCTCACTAACACAGATTTAGACAGATTTGTGAACAATATCTGTGAGAAATGGTCTTATGTGTGTATAGAAAATGTTTTAGATCTTTGAGTTCAGCTCGTGAAAAATGGGAACAAAAACAAAAGTGTTGCATTTATATTTTTGTTCAGTGTATAAAGGCATGTTTTTCCTGCTGTGACTCCGGTCAACTCAATGCTCTCGCTGGTTTAAGCCTTTACAGATATCTCACTTCAGATCATACTAGTATGCACTAAAACCAGGTGTCTGCAGGTATCAGACATTTAATTTAATTCTTTCTAAGTTATTTCAAGATATTTTTAAACCAAATTTAAGACTGCTGTTTGGACGAATCATCCTTTTCTTATTCATGCACTGCAGGTAAGTATTAAGGTAATTAGTATGTATGTGGTCCTGTGCAGATTTAGTTTTTATGTAGGAATATGGTTATTAAAGTGCATTAGATTAATAAACATTTTGCCAACAGGTAAAAGACAGTTTTAAGTTCAGTGATTGGTAAAAAGATTTGTAATATGAATATGGACTTTTGCACAGAAGAACTTGACTGATGAATCTCACAATTCAAAATCTAATGACCTCTAGGGCTAATATTCATAAAATCTAATTTAAGACGACTTTATCATGCACATAACTGTAAATATTTCTTATGTTTACTTTTATTCTATTCTTGTTTATTCTATTGATGTATATATTGTAGTTGCATTTCATACTTACAGCACAGTGATGATATATATTTTATTCTTAATATTTTAATATCTTAAGTACTAGTGTTAAACATTGTAGCATGATGTACATTCTATTTTTAATTTTAAAGTACATTGTATTTTATTGCTTTATAATTACATACCTCTATTTCATACTCTTATTCTTACTTCTTATAATTGTCTATTCTTTACATCTAAGCGACTGTAATGAATCACAATTTCCCCTCAGGGATCAATAAAATATTTCTGACTCTGATTCTGAAGACATTTTAAGACTTTTTTTAAAGACCAGCAGACACCCTGATGACGATCCACTGCCTGTGAGAGGCAGTGCAACAAGTAAAAAAACTAAACACACTGAGCTCATCTTGTAGATAAGAGAGTTGACAACTCACCATCTTTGCAGATGGTGCTGACCACACAGGCTCCTGCCTCCAGATTGTAACCAGTGACACAGCTGCTGCAGTTCTGTTCACCGGGCCCCAAGCACTCGTAGCAGCTATGGTCACACCTGTCGATGGTTGGAGGAAGAGTTAGAAAGCAGTCCATGCAGCTCTGTGCTGTCCTCACATATCCTCTACAAGGTTAGAGGAGTTTCAGATATCTTTCTGTTAGTTTTTGCCTTTATAGTCATTGATTTTCTTCAAAGATGCGTCACTGTAGAACTGTCAATTTTCCAATTTGCTGCTCTCAAATACACTCAGATCACTGAACTACAAGGAAACTGACCAATGTGGTCTTAAATAATGAAGCCCAAGAACAAATCAAAATATTCTTTCAAAACAGAAACATAAATCTTTATGAGACTTTTGATTTTTTGCTGCAGTGAGCTAGTTGGTAAGAATACATACAGTCATATTCAGTTTTGTGTAAATATCAACTGCAAAGAAGGAAAAACATTTGTGTCACCTTAAACATGTATGTTTTTTCCTACTTTTGTTAAGTCCTGGTGTGCATCATAAGTGTATTAGACTCACAAGTCAGTCTTTAGATGCTTTGCTTAACTAAAGACTGATGACTTTCTCCCTGATTTTGTGTTTAGATGGGCGGATACAATTTCAGAGTTTAAAAAAAACTCCCTACATTGCAGAACCAATAGTAAATCTGCAGGGAGGTCCATCGGTGGCTCGCTGAACTCTTGTGCTTGTAAACATAGTCCCACTAGAAACACGTGTAGCGGTACAAAATGGCTCAGCCGTGCTCGCAGAAAACGCCGTCAAAGTTAGTGGATGTTTGTCGCGTTTGCGGCGACACATTCTCGCCAACTAAAAGAAACAAACATAATCCTTTACAAGGCCATGACTCATCCGTCCGGCCGGACTATAGAGAGAATTGCCTTGTTGTTTACAAATACTTCCGGGTAGAAAACCAGCAGAGCTTTTAGCTATATATCACATTTTTCACATCACTGTATCACCGTTTAGACTAATCCGATGTTTGTAAAGTCTATAAACACAATGAACAAACATTACTATTTCTTAGCCGTTAGCGGTGTAATAGGTAATAACTCATTAAACGGTCTGTGAAAAAAATATCTTTCCCAGCGGATATCTTAGTTACACCATGATTGAGCTAGCAAAACAGTTTTGTGTTGCTATGTGTGGTATTTATTCAGTTATGGGAAATCACGATGTCTAGAAAGCATCAGTGGCTGCAGCTGACAGGGACAGCTAACACTAGCAGCAAAGCTAACATCAGGACATCATCTGTTAAAAGCCTCCCGTTGTCGGATACGACATGAAACTACTCCAGTTACCTCAATCATGTTGTAACTAAGACATCCGCTGGAAAAAATATTTTCTTCACGGATGAGCACACGTTTGATAAAACAGAGTTTAATCTCTCGGCATCCATTTTCAAGCTGTGTGTTTGTTTCCTTGCGGACGAGAAAAGGGGGAGCGCACATTTCCAAGAAGGTGTGTCCTTTTAAAAAATGCAAGAGGCGTTGCTTTGTTGCCGGCTGTTTTCGCCGGTGTGTTAAACACACTTTAGAAAGGAGTGTCCCCAGACTATCAGAAGGCGGAGATCTCTGATTGTCTGGTGGCGAGATTATAAGTGTATAAACACAACCAGGGACAAAACAGCGACCCATCAGAGTACAAATAAAACATTATGGTACTGCTTTAATTCGTTAATGATTTTCATTTCTAAACTGTAATTTATTGCTTTGGCCCTTCAAGTGTATACCAGTAAGCAGTGTTTGCAAAGCACTGGAAGTTCTAGATTGATGTAAGACATGAAGTTTTTAAAACAGTCATTACCATAACAGAAACCAGATAGGATAATATCTGAAATAACCCTCTTGCAACAAGAAAACAGTTCTCACAATGAGTGTGAAAATGGCGCAATGATTGGAAATGATCTGACCAGGAAGGAGCTGACAGAGAATTAAGAAATCAAATAAAGTAAAGGGTCAAGTCAGCAATAAATAAGTCAAGGAGGGAGGCAAGTTCACCTCAAGGAACGATAAGAAAAGCAGACAAGACGTCTGACTCTGTGGAGGAGTTTGACTGTGGGTGTGATAGGAGGCAAAGCAGTCATCAAACTGTCATCAAACAGGAATATGAGCATGTTTACATGTTCTTTCCCTCCTTTTTCTCCTCACACATGTTAACATAGGTGAAGAGTGAAGTAATGGAGCTGTGGAAAAACTGCAAAGTGCAACCAAGGGCAGTTCTGAAAGGCTTGTTAAAGGGCACGTTTAAAGCTTTTCTTTATTTTCTGTCATAGATATATGATGTCAGATGTCGAAACTATACGTGGCCAAACTTTGAAATAATAAGGTTAACATATGTAAAAGATCCCTGTGAGTAAATATCTCAGGCTTCAAACCTTTCCAACATTTTTTTACTTTCAAGATAAGGTGACATCAGATGGTGACAAATTTCTTTACATGGTCATTTGCTCCAGGCACGCTGCTGTAAGTATTTACATTGAGCAGCCTACATGGATACATGTAGCTACACATTAGCGTCAGGGAAAATTTGGATCACATTCCTGCTGGAACATGTCCAGTTATGGAGATTTTATTTGCAGTTTTTCAAGGTAGAAAGAGCCGCTGTTTTACTTTACAGTTATTCCCCGGCTGCAGTGATGGTGCAGAGATGTCAAGATTTGTGAGATCTAGAATCACAGACCAATTAGAGCAGACTGTGCTTTTTCGGGAGAGGGGCGCCAAAACGAAGCGCGTCAAACAGAGGGTGAATATATGTTCCAGCACAGATAGTGTGAGGAAAATACAGTGTTTTTGACCATTAAAGCATGTAAACATGTATTTGGGTTTCAGGTTTCAGATCTAACTGTCAGTTATTTATTTGAGAGATTAATATGTGCACGCACTTAACCGATTGCATGCTTACACTAACCAAGGCAACCTCCCCTACATTCCTGAGCACATGGCACAAGTAGTGCTAGAAAAAGTTAAGAAACATGCACTTGACTTGCTAAAGCTTTAGATTTCCTTTTTTATTTTGTAGACCGGAGATCTACAAGGTCACTGTGGTGACGAGGTGTTGGCAGGTGTGCTGACTCACTTCTTACAGGACCTCTGAACCTGCCCGTTGTCTGAGGTCTGCTCTGACAGGTAGTAGCCAGTGCTGCATGTTGACACACACCGCCAGTCCTCAAGTAAGTAGCCGTCTGCACACTTTGTGCACGCCTCTATACCTGTGCCTACAAAACACACAGACACACACTTTAGAAACGTTGTTAGAACATTATAAATCAAATGATAAACAAACAGAGTACTCAAGTACCTCAAGTACTGCTAAACAACATAAGAACACACTGATGTACATGATAAATGTAACTGTAGTAAGTGTTACGACTTCCTACCTGCGCAGGTGGCACATGCCCGATGACAAGGTTCACAAGTCCTTCTGTGGCCATTGTAATAAGTTCCTGGGTCACAGGTCATTTGACACTTGTTTCCTTGAAGACTAGACAGAGAAACAGAAAAAGACACATCTTCATACCTTTAGAATTAACACCAGGAAGAAAAAGCAAGTAAAAATAAGTAATTTCCTTTTAAGTACCAACATAAAATTCATCCAGATGGCAGCACGTGAGTTTAAGAAAGGTTAAGAAAAACCGATATTTTCTTATTTCCAAACTGTTTGCTGCAAAACAGCTCCAGTGTGTAGGACTTAGGGGGATAAATTGGCAGAAACTAAATCTAACATAAGTATGTGTTCTTTAGAGTAAAATCACCTGAAATAAGAAATGTCATCTTTCATTACCTTAGAATGAGCCATCTATATTTACATAGGGAGCAATCCTTGTCTATTGAGTCTGCCATGTTGCATCGTCATGTTTCTACAGTAGCCCAGAACGGACAAATCAAACACTGGCTCTAGACACGGGCATTCACATGTTCGTGTCAGCCACTGTACTTAACAGCCCCTCCACGATGTGCCAAACAGCATTGGAAAAACACTGATTTTTAAAGAGAAACTGCTCCATTTGGTGTTACTACTGGTTTAAATCATCTTGTCCATTTGTTTTGAAAAAGAAGAGATGCCTGTGGATATTTCGGCTCCTGGTACAAAACGTCCTGAACACTGAAGGAATTCTAACCAGGAGAAGTTTCAGCTAGTGGCAATCTGCAATCCTCACCGCTAGATGCTACTAAATCCCACACACTGCTGATTTAAATTTTGCCTGTTAAAAGCCAGCTGTTACTAAGGGATTTTCTGTAGAAATTTCTTCATGGTAATTATTGAGGAAGAATGAATAAAAACGAAACAGCTGCACCACCAGTGATACCAAGTGGGTGTACACATTAGCTGCTGGCCTAGTTTACTTTTTCACTGATGTGCAGGAATACTGTATCCTCCACATTCAACTGAAGTCAAAGGGAATTTGTTGTTTTAAAGAAATATATATAAGAGATTTTCCAAGTGCCAGATGTTTGTGTAGAGCTAAGTCAGGAAGTAGGTTTGGAGGTTATAAAGTCAATCCTGTGAAGTCACAGTGAGGACAGGTTGGTGAGCTTGTCGCGCTAAACTGAAAAACAGCTGGTCTGCGTTAGCTAACGTTTCCCAGAAACGATCTCGCCTGGTCCCCTCTTCCTCCTCGGCTCCTAACCAGCCATGAATGGTGTACTGAATGGAGGACTGTGTGTGTGTGCATGTGCGTGTGCGAGCATGTGTCTTGCTGTGGTCTCGCTGGCATTCAGAGGAAATTATGGCTTACAAGTGTCCCCACCTCCACCTCTGGCTACACTGAACACTTAAAGCTGGGTTCGAGACCGCAATATGTTTAAGCGCTTCACAAGTGTTTCTTTCATGACCTATCAGGAATTCCAGCACTTTTGAAACGCCCTATCCTTTGTCAGGTCAAGTGTAGTTGGGGCGGTTTGAAAAGGCTGCTGTGGAAGTGGCCAGAAAATGAACTGCAACATGTCTGCATGGATAACTAAATGGCTTAGATCAGAGGTTCTTCAAAGTGACGACCACAACCCAAAATGGGCAACAGCTCCACTTCTTGTGGGTCTCCGCATGACATGAGTGTATGTGGGCTTTAATAAGCCCGGGTCACGGGGTGAAACTCTGTTTATTCAATTTGGGTCCCAAGTGGAAAACAGTTGGGAAGCCTTGGTTTCACTGGTTCATGCTGAGAACCCAAACCACAGTGCAACACAATATGCTGGTCTAAATTAGCAACACTGTGTTTCTGCAGTGTTATGAAGAGGATGAACACAAAAGGTTTTTATCCTGAAACCACAACACTGACATTTAAGCCAAATTGATGCAAAAGACAAAACCAGAGGTATTTGTTCATAGTACGACGGAGGACGGGCTGTAATGCTAGATCTTCATATGAACAAGCTGTGATTAATATCAGCTGGTCTGGTAGCAGCAGGCATCGAACGTTAACGGGTTGTCCAACACAGAGCCCACAGACACCATGTTGCCAATGAAACCATATATTTAGGTGAGTTGTATATGAGCCTCATACACATGGGAAACATTAAAGGAACAATTCATCCCATGAATCAAAAATACATATTTTTTTACCCACAGTGCTATTTATTAATCTGACTGTGTTGGTGTGAGTTGCCGAGTGTTGGAGATATCAGCCGTAGAGATGTCTGCTTTCTCTCCAGTATAATGGAGCTAGATGGCACTCAGCTTGTGGAGCTCAAAGTGCAAAAAAAAACCCAAAACTTGATATGAGCAGTTTCATGTAAGAACTAATTTCTGTCTGTCTAACTACACCCGCCAGCCATATCACTACGCAATAGGAAGCGATCATCTACTGCTAGCTCACCTAGCACCACTGAGGTAGGTTATGTTACAGCTGAGCCGACGAGGACAGCATTAATGTTTACATCCTACGCTGTCAAAAGCATGAGCCTCTCGTCCATTAGTCGATGCGTGTTTCCTTCAGCACAGTGATACAATTGGCGGGGGTAGTTTGGTAGAAAGAAAATAGTCCCTACATGAAACTGCTCACAACAAGGTCTGTGGATTATCTTCAGCAACCCGGTCATGGTTTCTGGAAAGAGACATTGCTGTTACATTGTTCTGGGTACATTACATCAGAGAGAAGGGAGACATCTCGACGGCCGATATCTCCAACCCTCAGCAACTCACACCAACACAATTGAGACTGATAAATAGCACTTCAGATAAGAAGAAAAATATGTATTTAGATTTTGGGGTGAGCTCAGGATCTCCAGTTCCTGTCCACATGTTGAAGTGTCCTTGGGGAAAGACACACTGCTTTGAAAAGCATTATGTAAATACAGCCAATCAACATTATGGCAGGAGGTATGCTAGAAACAAACTAGTTTGTACAACTTGTTGTCTGATCGCGTTTATAGTCAGGCATGTTTTTAGCTGTTCTCAACAGCCACACTTGACGGTGGACCAAAACTTCGGACGTCACAGTGAGGAGGTGAAACGTGGACATTTTCTGTCAATCTTTCCTTGAAGATTAATAGTGTTGCATTTGTTTGTACATACAAAAAGTGATAACTAGTTGTGTGAAGAATAAATGACGAGAGCTTGAGAGAGAAGCAACGCAGCTGGTCTGTAAGTGTGAGAATGTCAGACTGTAGGCTTTGAAATCTTACAAAAGCTGTCTAACATCACAAAGGTGTGAGGAGAGGAGGGTTTTAGACACTATGAACCACCCAGAAAGTACTTTCTTTTAAGTAAACCAACACCTTTGGAGTTGCAGTGGTTAAGTAGTTGACATGGAGCCTCGATGCAACTTTGAAAAATTGTGTTCAATCAAATCCCCCATGCTGTTTTTGTTAAGAGGAAACTCAGTGATTGTTAAGTTTGAAGCAAATCTTGCTGCACCTTTACTATGGTAAAAAATTGAAACACAGCAAGTTTTAAGGCGCATAATCACACGTTATGTAGCAACGGACACAGCAAGACTGAAATCACTTCCTGTCAAAACACTAAAATTAATAATGCATTAAACTCTGACCAGTGTCTCCTCTGAAGCTGTTCAGCATGACTCCTGGCTTACCTCATCCCAGGTTTACATTCTGTGCAGATATTGGAGTTGGTGCACTTCCTGCAGTTCTCTGGACATCTCCTGCAAATGTTGGAATCTGAAAGACACAGGGAGAGCCAGTCATTCACAGTGGCTAATAAGAACCAGAAGTCTGGCTGCATTTGAAATTAAGAAAGGGAGCAGAGGAAGAAGACAATGATGAAGAGGAGAGGGGGTAAAGTGAGTGAGGAAGACCAGAGAGGAAAGGGAGAGAGAACAAGTAGAGGAACAGAGAACAATGACAAAAGGCAGGGGGCAGAGATGGCAGGAGAGGAGAGGGGAAAGAACAGAAATGTCAAAAGGCTAACGCTGCAGGGATGAAAAAGAAGATTGTAGTGTTGGTGAGGGAGGAGAGGAATGTAGATGAATATTTCAAAAGGCACACTAAAGGCAATGACACGCTTTGACACAATGCACATGGGCACATCTGCCTTCAGCAGTGATGAGGATTGCCAAAAACTTTGTTTTATTATTCTTGAGAAACCATAGAGTAGACTACGGCCATTAATCAAAACTGTTATTTCTACATATCCGGGAAAAACGTTGCTTATGTATGACACAACTATGATGGTTTTATTTGGAAGTCATATGGCCAGAGCTGACAGGAGGAGACTGAGCGTAAGTGAGGATTGTTGGTAAGATTTTCACGAATCTGAAAATCATTAAAGGGTTGAGGAAGGTTGCGGACAGGTCAGCGACAGGATTTCTGTGAAAAAGCACTTTTACATTCACCGTTTCCGTTTCAAGTGTTAGTTGAGAACCGGAGGTCAAAGATTGATCTGAAATTATTTAATTAATAGACGAGTCAATCATTAACAGTTATGATGATCTGTTATTTTTCATTTCAGAGATGCAGTGTTCTCAATTGTTTAGATTTTCAGCTTTTCTCCATGTTATGTTGGATATTTTGGGATTTTAAACCCAGTTCAGACCAAAGATTTGTCATGACACAAGTTGCAATGTGAACAGACGAGATGGTGTATCATCTCTATAGAAACAACTCTTCCTTGTACTTCCGTTTTAATTTCCAGCTTTCCAGGCTTTTTTAGTGGCTGAATATAATTTGTAGCTTCTTAAAATAAGAGCGAGGATAGTGAGATACTTGCTACGGTCCCATTTCAGTCCCAATTAGTTAGTCAATACCACACTTGAATACTTCTCATTGCTGACATTACTTTGTCCATAATTAGGATGGCAACTCGGAAAAAAAAAAAAAAAAAGTCCTGTCCAAAAATGAAATCATTACACGAAAGCGTCCACGTGATTATAAAGGCAGGAATTCAGCTCGGCTTGCTGTCAGACTGACAAAGACAAAATAAACTTTAGATAGCTCATTTAACACAACACAATACTCAGCAGTGCCAACATTTCAAAAGAAAAAAGTATCCACTACATCTTGGCCTGTTGAAATGTTATGATTGAACTTGGATCAGATCGCATCAGATCTGCTGCCAGAGCCTCTCAGAGCTGCCAGGACTTACACTGTCTTGGCTGCAAACCAATATATAGACATAATTATAAGATATACATAGTTTCAGCCTCATTCCTGCTTCCCTTTCATCCAGGCTGGCATGCAGCATGAACATAAGTCAAATCAGTAAGTATATACATACAGTACATACAGTATGTTAACCCCACCCCAACTACTCTGTTTATTATAAACCTGACAGCAAGCTGACTTCTCCTGAACATTACCCTTAGATAATTCTCCTGCAGGTCTGTTTTATTTCACCATTTACTCCACTTTAAACTGGCAAAAAAATCTCCTGACAACCAAAATCTTTCTGACCTGTTCAGTTCAGCAAATGCATAAAAATGGCAAGATGTTATGTCACGAACAAAACAGCACAATACTTTGAGATGCAGATGTTTCTGTAAGTCCAATTCATTTCCAGCAGTGATGTTAGTATTTGGGGTTCATCTTCCTTATTTAGCTATTCTTTAATCTCATGAATTTCACACTTTGAGAAGTTGATCTATAGCCAGCAAACTTACAACGGACCTGGGGAGACAAATCGTTGATCCTGTGTGGGCATGCAGCAATCACAGCTGAGCCTGATTCTGTGTTGTCTGAGGCATTTTGCTCACCTTAACCCTAACTGCTCCGTTAAGCTTAAGGCTCTGTCTACATGTAAACAGATACTTCTGAAAACTAATATTTCCCTCTTTGTTTTAGCGTGTCATCTACATGCAAACAGAGGTTATCTCACTAAAACGTTTACTTTTTTAATACAGCACAATACAGCTCTGCTCACTGTGTATCTGTGTGGATGTGTAAAACGATGACATCGTCTGCTTAATTTGTACATGCCCATTATTGCTTTGTGTAATTAACATGCACCTGAAAAAACATAACTGTGGTTGACTTCCAGTTTGTTAACATTTTGTTCGCACTGCTTGGTCTGATGACTCCTTTATATTTAAACTCAGAATTGCTGCACCACTTCACAGATGAACCGAGACATCTGCTGTGCCCAATGTTAATTACTCCACCTCGGCTTCTGCGGTTTAAGTATGCCAGAAACTAAGGTTTTGGATCAGGACCGGTCGAACCAGCAGATGGTGGACAATTTTTAAAGGGGGATTGTTGGTGATGAGGAGAGGAAGAAAAGTTTTCACATGTCCAGAGCATCAGTCGGATCTTTGAGTGAACTCCTTCCTCCTTATGTCAAAGAGGACTCAACGGTGATGAATCTCTAATTATCTTTTGAAACTAGCCTGTACACTTTACTATGTCTGTACAAGCGAAGACAGGGCCAAAATGTCACACTATAAGAAAAATACTGAAGTGAGAAGCAGCTTATAAATCCCCTAAGATTGGCCCAAGGAAAAATGAAAGAAAGAGAGTTTGGAAACAAGTTCTTGACTGCATGATGTGCTATCATGTATGAACTCATGACTTTATGCTTTGCAGAGTCAGTTTGCCCAGCAGTGAAACATACCGGTGTCGAGGTAGAAGCCGTCGCCGCAGTTGGCGACACACGTGTTGGAGCCTTCGTTGAGGTGAAAACCAGTCCTGCATGTGGTGCACTGGTCGCTACGGCTTCCAACGCAGGTCTCGCACAATGAGGAGCATTTCTTGCAGCGCTTCCTATCGTCACGGAAAAAGCCACTGGGGCACTCTGACACACACATCCTGGGGAGAGGGGATGAGAGGGGAGAGACAGGGTAAGGGAGAGCATCAAAAGTGGAGTACGAACAAGGGGCATTTCGAGGGTATTTCTTACAAACATGTAGTTTACACTGACTGTGCAACATAATTATGGCTGTACAAATAGTCAAAGCTTCTATTGAGGTTTTTCAAATAAAACTTCAAATGTCTGATCACCCTATCTTTTAAATAAATACATGCAATTTATGATGCTGTTTGATCTTTATTTTCCAATAAACTTTAAGAAAGTTATTGAAAATGTCTGAATCAAACAAGTCCGACACAATGCAACGCATACAGCCACCACTTGAATCTGATTCTACCAACACTATAATAGTAATAATATTAGTGTAGTCTTATGAATAAAACTTTGGAGCCTCAAACTATTCAGTACAGCCCCAAACAAAATAAAGACAAACTCGTCCTCATTGTTCCACAATTAACAACCTCTATCACACAGCTCAGTACAATGTTAACAGGCTCAAAATGTAAAACACATGTCTGACAAGAAACATATGCCTGTTGTGTAACACTATTATGGGCTTAATGCGCTCAATTATAAATATAAGATCAAGTAAAATATAGTTTTATAAGACTAAAGCAGAAATATTTTTCTCATAATCACCCAAGGCAAAATGTAAACATGTTTTTCATGTATCAATACAGCTCATAATGAGATAGGACAAACAGAAGTGGAGGCTTGAGTGTGTGCGTGCGGCTGCTATATGGTGAACAGGTGTAACATCTGTTGGATAACTTCACAGCCCGCCGTCACCCCCTCATTTCACCCTGAGGCTCCCTTCCTAAGGTGAAAAAGATCTCCAGAATCCTCAAGAGCACGCACACACACACACACACACACACACACACACACATACACACACACATACACAGTCCTTTAGCCGTATTCACACACAGAGTTTTCTGCCAAGAAACACATATTGCACGTGTGAAACACATAATCCACATGTGCGCATATACACCGCTACGAGATTGTCCTCCAGCTTCAATACCTTTTCTCTGCTATCCTGAAATGCCAATTTAACCAATAAAAGATTATAAAAACACTACGATACATCACCTACACCAAGGACAGCACTAAATGTGAGAACACATTGAAACCGCTATCCCTGACTGCACTGTCAGTACAAGATGTCGTCGATTGAGTCCTTGAAATCATAAAGATGGGAAATTGTAGAAATAAGAAAAAATTTAAAGGAAAATGCCAAGGTTTGTATTTTTTTCAACATAAGCTTTTATTTTTGTATTTTTGTCCATCATTCCCATCAGTTATAATAATGTTTTGGTCACCAAGGTCATTACTACGGAACTAGATCGGGAAAGCATGAGCACACCCAAAACGTCGGTTAATTTGCCAATAAAACACACTGACATATGTTAATAATTTGCTATTTAAGAAATCCATGATACCTTCGTTAAGTTTCACCATTTTTAGGCAAAGTAAAATTAAGAGACACATATTAAAATAAATAATTGTTCCGAATAAATGTATTAGTGGTAAAGGGTACAGATATAACCAAGTAAAAGTTACGACTTTTTAAGACCTTTTTAACACCAGCTTCTATGAAATGTATGACCAAACCTGCAATGGAAATACACGTTATATAATTTATATATATATATATATGTATATATGTATATGTGTGTATGTGTGAGTGTGTGTGTGTGTGACACATCTGTAAGTACTCTTTCCAAGTAAACCCACTGATGTCAGTTCAATATGAACAGTAAGGAAAAATGACAGCAATTGGGTGAGTTTAAGTTTAATATGCTTAATGTGATAAAAAAAAATTAATCGCTGTCATAAATTCTATTTATTATAACAATTCTTCAGTCACACACACACACACACACACACAAAGAGGTGCAAAATCCTCTGCAGTTTCAAAGACCCACACACCTTTTGGTGAGTCCAGACCATCAAACACATATGTAGGGATGTAATTATCTGAACATTAAACACCCCCCCCCAATTCTCATTCATCAATTGCTCCCTGTGGTGGCAGAAAAGGGCAGCACACCTCTAAAGTGGGCTAATGATAAGGCAGCGCCTAAGCTTGCACATTCTCATGCACCTGCATCAGTTTGCCTTTTATTAGTGCAGAGACCCACCGACACAAAGGCAATTACAACAGACTTTGATCCTAATGGGATCCTAAGGGCACACACAAAGGCGCAAATGCGCGCACACACACACACACACACACACACACACATAAATTCACAGTCACACAAAAAGACTTACAGATACTTCTAAGAGGGGGAAGGGAGAGACTGATATGACCGACAGGAAACAACAATCTCTGTTATCAGACTGACAAGGTCAAATTAATCAGGTCACCACCTGCTCTGTGTCTTAACCTTATTCCTATTAAACTCGCCAAATAACAGGAGCAAGCACTGACCTGTGACCTTCAAAGGGAAATGTGTAAATTCCAAATGAACCAGAATGAGTTATAATCACTGATGAGTAAACCAAATCAGAATGTGACTAAACTTTACTAACTAAGACATGAAGCAGAGTCAGAACATTACAACAATGTAGAGATTAGGTCATATATTTGTGACGCTGAAAATACAACTGCAACAATTGTACATAAACGTGGTGCCTTTGAAATCGTGAAGGTTTGACTGTGTATTTGTGTTTATCTGTATGTGGGATGAGAGTCTGAGTGTGAGCATGTATGCAATAAGTAGAGCTGGTGCGCACATAGGAGTGGAATTAGAGGAGAGAAACAGAAACAATTAGAAAAATAATCATTCATTCATTTCCATAACCGTATATCCTGTTCAGGGGTTATGGGTGTGCTGAACTCTATCCCAGCTGACACTGGGCGAGAGGCAGGGTACACCCTGGACAGGTCGCCAGACTATCACAGGGCTGACACATAGAGACAGACAACCATTCACACCTACGGCCAATTTAGAGTCACCAATTAACCTGCACGTCTTTGGACTGTGGGAGGAAGCAGGAGAAAACCCACACTGACACGAAGAGAACATGCAAGCTCCGCACAGAAGGGCTCCCCCACCCCAGGTTTAAACCAGGGACCCTCTTGCTGTGAGGCGACGTTGCCAAACACTGCACCACTGTGGCGTCACGAAAAAGAATCAAACTAAGTAAATATAGACAAGGTGAAACCAAAAAGAAAGCAGAAAGTACCGAGAGACTTACAGGTGCATTATTTTGAACATTATCATATCCGTGGTAGGGTTGCAGCGGTATAACAGTTTTAAGGTGTACTGTGGTATAAAAAATTGATGGATATCGTGCTGTGTCCATCTGCTTGTGTACAGTATAAAAATAATACAACTGGACGGAGAATCTCACCTTTCCTCCTTAACTGCCTGAGTTTTTACACAAAATATCATAAAAAATGAAGGAGAAAAAAAAGGTTTCAAGTTTCAATTATAATAAAGCATAAAAAAACTCTTTGTTTTCATTCCTTTAAGGATAATTGTAACTGATAATGGGGTGGCTGTGGCTCAGAGGTAGAGCTGGTCATCCACCAATGGAAAGATCTGGGGTTTGATCCCCAGCTCCTTCAGTCCGCATACTGAAGTATCCTTGGGCAAGATACTGAACCCCAAATTGCTCCCAATGGCTGTTCGGTAGGTGTGTGAGAGCATGTGACTAGTCAGTGAGTAGCCGGTGGTACCATGTATGGTAGCCTTGGCTGCCAGAGTGTTAATGGGTGTGTTATTGGGTGAATGTGACTCAGTAATGTAAAACAGCACTTTGAGTGGTCAGAAGACTAGAAAGGCGCTATACAATGTTTTCTGATACAGTTTTCGTACCGTGAAAAAATCTTGTTGCAGTCCTAGTCTTTGGTACATCTATTTATGTTTAAAAGAGCCCTGAAGTTAACTGTGTGTCTGAGGAGTTGGCTGTCGATGTAAAAGTTTGTCGACCACCAGGTACACTTGCTTGTTGTTTTTCCTGCTGCCCCTCAGGGACGGGTACAATACTTTGCAGCATTCATTTATTTCCTATGGAAATTCGGATGTTCAGACCATAATTAGCTTCTGTTCATTCTTTACCTTTGCTTTTGATCAGTTCTTTCTGTTGAACATGTTCAACCTAAGGTTGGCCTGGGTGCACTCGCTGGGGCTTAATGTTGTTTACTGTGCCCGGTGGGAGTTTAAGGTGAGTTTTCGTCAAGTCTTTATTATTTGTCTCTGCGTTGTTGGGTACAGTTTTTGAAATACTGCAGAAACATTTAAAAAACAGACCCACCTGTTTACATATCGTGTCTCTACCTTATGTCTTGCTTTAGTCTTTTGTTGTAACGTCTGATCTAGAAAGGAAGCATACCGTCTCTCACATCACACCTAGCTTTCTTTCACCACACTTATGTGAATCTTAGTGTTGATGCACGCTCCTCAAAAACAAAATATGAGGCAGAGGTAAAAACAAAGAAGTTGGATTTATTCTTAGTAAATTATTAAACTATCTCAGTAAGATGAAATGCCTGACTGCGTTTCCAACTCTTCAAAGATCCATCTACAACCAAATAAATTACAATACATAAATACCTAAGATTTATTTTCACCTGTCAGGAGGTCACCAGATGTATTAATTTGGTTTTTCCATTAACATAGCAAAACATGCACAGTAAATTTCTGCTGGAATGCACATTATTAAAATCATTCATGCAAACTGGGCTGTTAGACAGTAGTTTCTTTGAAGCCTGAGAAAACAGGACAGGAATAAAGCCTTGAGCTGATTAAATCCAGTTATTGGTGGATTGGTATGCACCGACATTCAATTTACCTTTCTGATTGAGACCCTCAGCTAATATTGATCCTTCTCTTTATTTGCCTGTCTCTGAACCCCCAGAGGACTTCACACTCTTTAAAACAATCAGATGTTGTTGAAGTCACATATAAGAGCCAGACGCATCTTCTGGCTGTAGCTTTGAAGCTCAGGTGCACTTTTTAAATTAAGAGAAGGGGAAAAAAAGCAAATCTGTTGAGAGCAATTACGTTTACATTTTCATGTATACTTTGAGAATCTACAAACTGTGTATTAAAGTGAGAAAGGTCAGTGAGACTGAGTGGAATTTAATAATGCCACCTACGTGCTGCTCTCCACAAGTTATAATATATACAACAGGTGCAAAATAAAAGTTTATTCACTCACTCACTACATGAGTAATCTTTGTATTTCTTAATTCACCTTCTGTTGATATTCATTCAATTCATGAATAAGTTGATTGAGCCTGAATCTTTGTTTGAAATAATTCCCAAGGTAAGAGGAGGAAGAGGAGAGACACAAATGCAGTTTCTAAATGAAGATGTGAAGCAGTTCAAGCAGTTTGGGTTAGTGTGGTGTTATATACGATCGAGACAGCACATTGAGGTCCCACCCCAACTGGAGGAGAAAACAAGTCATGGCTCTCCAATGGATTTGCATTGTGTGAAAGTGCCTCCTTTTGATTTCCATCTACTAGCAAACAACAGAAATGGGATGCACTATCTACAGGGTTAAGAACCCAGAATTTAACTTTTACAGGCACAGAACAGAGAAATGGAGCCTTTAAGAAGACCAAAGTGAAGGAGGAAAGCGAAAACTGTGGGATCCTGACACTCATGCTTTCGTGTGCAGCATGCATTTTTCTAATTTGGCCAGACACACTGTAAAGGTTGGAGCTAACTGAGCTACACGAGGCCTGGTTGTGATTTTTGTTTGGGTAAATGATGATCTTATCTGGTGAAACTATCAAGTTGTAAATATTCGTTTGGGCAGGTGTGAACACAACAATCGCACTCAGGTGCGCACCAAATCAACTGAACCTTCTTAAAGAGCCAGTCTCGGTCCAGTTACGAACAAACTCTAGTGCTGTTCGTTTGTGGTGAGAGTGTGTCCCAACCTTGAACTGCGCCTTGTTTTCAAACTGTGTGGTTTACCTAAAATGAACAATGACAGCAATATAGTCCACGATGACCAGCGCTAAAATCAACCTGCGTAGTTGTCCCTCCACTGTGACATTAGAAAGTGTCACATTTATCTTGCAAGTGTACTCTTCTTCAACGTTTTGTTTACTTCCTGGCCAATCAACAGCATATTTCTCACACAAGGCATTTTATCTGGTCCACTTGTAAATGCTGCCGTGAGAACACGAACCAACTCTATGCCATTATGCAACTTTGTAACAAAATTAGTCCTTGATTCAGACCAAAGCAAATGAACGCTAGGTCTGAAAGCACCCTTAGAGTATGACTTGTTGTGCTCTGTCTCTATGTTCTGTCCAAACTTGTTGTATAAAGCTCCTTTCATACATGCACTGCAAACCTGAAATTATCTAGATATTACCAGGGGCGCTGTATTTAAGAACATTTGTCCATATTAGTTAGATTGGACATTAACTAGTCTCATGTAGTTGGAGCCCATGTGTGAACAGACCAGGTAATAGTCTGGAAAATTCACAGCGAGTGAGTGGGTGCGCTGACGACATTTCTATCATGAGGCTCAAGGAAAACAAGAAGAAAACAAACATCTGAGGGTGAAGAAGATGGCTCACTTACACGAAGACGGCAACGAAAATGTCTAACTGGAAAGGAACTTCCATTTGTATGGCCTGATGCCAAAATCCTCAAAAATTCAGCGAGACTATTTTTATGAACAAATTACAGACTGGTAACGTGACTGCGGTTTAATCTGCATCATGTCCTGCCTCCTGCACAATCTACCCAGGCGCCATCCCTCACACAGACCAAGTAGAGTATTTCAAGTGGACGAGACAGCTCCTGACACGGACAATCTCCTGCTGTGTGCTACATGTGTGGAAGGGAAACTTCTACTTAACTTCGTTAATACGAGAAAATGGCTCAAGAGAGACACAACCTTTGCTCTTGTTGATAAATCCCAATATTCCAAAGTACAGTCAGTACATTTTTATATATCTACTTTATATATTTATTAATTTACACAAGAAGAAGAAGAAGTATTGATTTTTTGGGGCATACTGACCTGGTGTTGTTCTTGAACTTGAGGAAATAGTGGAGGCAGTTGATGCAGTGATGGGGTCCAGGACCTTCACAGCCATTCTCATTGCACTCAGGGTCACAGGGGCCTGGAGACACACAGAGGTGACTGTAGGAATACGTCTTACAGTCTAATAACTTTTTTTATTGCGCCCTTTAATAACAGCCTTATTCCTAATGCATCAGTACAGCTCACTATCATTGTGACAAGACAGTAAAAATAGCAGACTTTGTACGGCTCTGGATTTATCACTCACCGTTGTACTCCTCTGTGAACTCCTCTTCGGTGGGCGTCAGCATGTCTGTGGAGCGGGGCTTATCGCTGCGCAGAGACGAGTACGGGTGCACAGAGGTGCCATACAGCACCAGTGACCACTCCTTCAGTTTGCCTGAGGAAAATAATAAAGAAGAAGAAAAAAATAAAGTCTTAGACGCAGATCCAGTCCTGATGGCAAGCAGCTGAATGTTCTTTGAAATCTATTTGATTTGTATATCTGATAAACAGAGTTGTCATTATGGTCCACAAAAAACAAGAGTATAATATCACGCAGATGTGCAGAGTTTTCTCCTTTTTTGTGTTCAGTTGTAGCAGTTCAAACATCTTTCACCACTCTATAACTTATTCTGTATTTTCAGCTACAATAAGTGGAATATTTCACATTAAACTCTTCACAATGCACATGAGAAAACTAGGCACAAGTTACGTGGGATTATAGAGATCGACCTAACAGCTTCTTAGAAATTAATACTGTCCATTTGAGACTTTATGTTGTTAAATTAGTGGGTCATCGAGCAGTTAAGTTCACTGCCTCCAGAGCAACATGTGTGCTCCTGCTGGTCCTCTAAACTCTCTCCTGTTTCTACTCTCTGCAAATTGAATCAAACAAAATAATAATAATAATAACAATTAAAGAAATTAGCTACACTGTCATACCGGGTACTTTCTGGCTGCGGAGTTGAGAAGGTGAATCATAGATCTCTAGGACCCAGTCGCCTGCTGCCTTCTCTCCCCAGCAGTGGGTGGTCATAAACTCCCAGTTCTTAAAACCCTCCATGGAGTGATCAAACAACCTGCACAACAAGAACACAAGCATGCACACACACATGCACACACATGTACACATACCCATACAAACATAAACACACACACACAAAATCATACACAAGATATCAGATGAGGAAACAACTCAAGTAGTGCAAATACAAGTACAAACAACCTCAACCACTCAACCAAGTACACTCAGTCTCTAATGAACAGCAGACAAACATGGTAAAGGACTGCAGTTTATCTGATGTAAACATGAACTTGCTACATAATACACGACATCCAGTGTTAACAAAGCAAGCATAGAACAAGTGAATCCACAATTTTTCAAGGACAAGAAGTTTTCTAAATGGATACTTTGCCAGTTGCCAAGCAGCTCTGTATCATAACAATATGGGTTGTAGATGAACTACGGTAAACTTCCCTCCTTCTTGCCAGGAAAAAACTGCTAGATTACACCATCCATCGTATTTTAGCTGGCTCTAGGACTGTTGCTCAAATTACATATTGTACTACCTCTTTTTTGTACACCTCCCTGTTTTCAGAAACATATTTCAGTGCAATGTTTGGCTGTCATACGACAATATGTGAACAAGAAGTGAGCCCCTATACTGTTTCCTGTATTGTGAAAAACAGAAGCTGGAAAGAAAAAAAAAAAAAAAAAAAACAGGCTTCCAGGAAGTGCACCAAGCTTTGTTTACCTGTTGGCAAGCAGCTGAGACTTGGTCCCTGAGGGTGAGGTCAGATTGATTGACAGGTCCCCACGGCGGGTGTGTGTGATTGTGATACGTACGACCACGTGCTCCAGGTAGATCACGTGGTGGTTGGGGTTGTCAGTGCATCCTGTTGCCTTGTACACTGACCGAACCACATGCTCTGGACGGATAGTTCTGCAGGACAAGATGGGAACCAGTTAAGAAGGAGGACACGAGGAGAACATACACACAAAAACAGAGATATTAACAGCTTAGTATTGTTTTTAATCAGTGTATGGAGTTATCAATCAGCCTACTGAAGGACACAAGACACCACCAACACACAATCAGCTCCACTGACAGAAAGTGGGAAAACCATAAAACACTTTTGCGAGCATTGCGGCATTAACCAGAGAGATTTGCTGGGTGTACCAGTGCATTTCATTGCAGCAAAAAATATAAAACAAACAAATAAACAGGATATCAGATATTACTGCAGAGTAGCTGGCTAGTCAGGTTAAAACCTTATCACATAGATAAGTTACATATCACTTATGATAAATGTAGGCTGTCAGACCCTAAGTTCTGGTGATATACTTGTCTTTCAAATCATATATCTCTCTATGAAGCTATGATACAGTTTTTTTGAGTGAAGAGGAAGTGCATTTAAAGCTACTAATTAGTAAGAGCTCCCATCTTTACATTTCAGGGTTTCACGTGCAGATTGGACCCTGACAGCTGGCTAAAGCTGAAGGATTCCCAAGTGACCAGATGTATATCAATTACTAACCCGTGTTGCGTTAAATTTGTGAAGAAAACTTTTTTTTTTCCCCTGCATGCCTCCACAGTGAAGGAAGAATCCAAAACAGACAATTCTTCTTGATTAATTGAGGTCATAGGCGACTGTGTTTTACAACAGCAAAACTATATCAGAACATCAGTTTACAAACTCTCACACAGTATAATCAAAGTCTCATTTATCCAGAAATATGCTCAGTGCTTCCCAAACAGACAGCCCTTTGCGACAGGGAACTGAACTAAAAGTGAAACTTAGCAATGCTCTCTTTAAAACCAGACTCCATTGACAAAAACAGTAATTTTACCTTCCTGAACAACGGAGATGCTGGTCTACCACTGCTTTGATCAGTTTTTTTGTGTTACTGTGTGATCTGGGTGAATGCAAACTAATGTCTTAAAACACCAAGGTCACAGAATAACACTAACTAATTGATTGATGCAGGCAGTGGTAGACCAGCAGCTCCCGTGTTCAGTGAGTTAAAATTACTGTTTTTCTCAATGGACTCTGGCATTGAAGAGTTTCACTTCCTGTTCAGTTCCACATCAGAAAGGTTGTCTGTTTGGGAAGCACTGAAAATAGGACTGGATAATGAGACTTGGATTATGTTGCACAAGTTGGGTGAATGTTTGTAAACTGATGTTTTCATATAGCTTTGCTGTTGTTAGACGCGAATCCTTGCAACTTCGATTTCATCAAAAATTTTCTGTACTTGATTCTTTGTTCAGCGTGGAGAATTCAACACAACACAGGGTGAGTAACTAATATACAAACGGTCATTTGTGGAGTGAAGTGTTGCTTTAAACTGGACATCATCTTCAAAACATAGGATTTAGCTGCTGAATGTAACTCTGTGTGCCCTCGGTCATAATGATTTTTCAGGGATTGAGGTTGGGGACTGTGACTGTCTCCCTACACTGAGACATTCTGTCCAGTCAACTCACCAAAAAAAAAATCTGTTAATGACTGACGTAACACTCAATATCAAGTTTCAATACACTGAGGCAATCAATGTGTACTTCGATTTAACTTCTTCCAAAAACACAAAGAGCGCACACAAACGGTTCGCACAAGAGGTTTTCCATTTCTCAAACCTCAACCAGCCAAAGAAACCAAGTACCATGAGCATGGTGAGAAAGACAAAGATCATTATTTGTTCTGTCCGCTATGCACAGCCACTGAACAGCCAACGCAAACATCTAATGAACCCTTGAATAACATCTGTGGTATGATCTAATGTACAGTAAGTAAGACAGAAACACTGAAAACATGGACAGGTCCAGCACAGGGGATGATGAACACTATCATGGCAGAGCAAAGCTTTTGATAATGAGTCATACACACATTACTGCTGCACAACAGTGGTACATAAAGCAGCTGAGCCAACTCGGCTCAGTACTGGATTACATGCAGGGTTATTTGCTGGAGACTGGTGAATTCCACTTTCTAGCAAAATAACATATAAACGCACTTCTTTAATTACTTCTTTTTGTGGGGTAGAGGGTTAGAGACAATTATTGCAGCGACTTGTGTCGTTTGATTCTGTATTGGAAACCATTTCATTAGACGCCCTGTTGTCAGGGTTACAATGATGGTGATGACATTTTAAGAGCCTAAGTGATACAGCACAGATGTTTATCATTAAGAAGAAAATTACTCCAAGACAATTATCGGCTGGTAAAGATTGCCTTTAGTTGTGCGATGAAGATGAAGTATTTTTTCCTGGAACGACATTTTACTTAAACTTGGCTTTAGGTTTAAATGAGACAAAAAGCATCACAACTGCGTAATTGATCACTAAAAGTTTTCTGTTTTGCCATTCAGCTAGTGCCCGTCGAGACCTAGAAAGATTTTAGTTACAGTCATAAATACCTGCTTTAATCATTCGGCTAATTGTTCTCTCAGAACTTTAGTGTGGATGTGACCATGTGAAATGATGAGTAAGTGACTGTGTTGGCTGTTGGATCACTCTATTGATAATTAATTACAGCTAAATATGCCAATTTGTTTGTGAAAGGCCAAATTCGGCCAGCAAGATGAATTTATTGACTTCCATTAGGGGATGTATTGTAAATGCATGTGTTTCAAACTTCTGACACTGATTAAACAAATTCACTCATCTCATATCAATTAGATCAGAAAATTTGTATGAAAGTTGTCAAAGTGGTTTATTATTGTTTAAAGCAGTGCGTTATGAATTGTTTTTCCCAGAACAATCCATAACAATTTCTCCATTTGTCCTTTGACTCCGTCTCCAATCATTTACATAATTCTCCAGGGACTAATAGTCAATACAAACAATTAACATTAAAACCACTGAAAACAGAGAAATACAGCAGAAAATTGTGTGAGCTCAGGGAGACGTGATGGAATGAATAACAGAGGGAAAGCACTGATTGTCTCTTTCGTAAGCAGTCGAAGACTGTTTGGAAGGCGGACAGCAGTAATGGCTGGGGAGTCTAAGGCTGATATCACAGCTCTGGCTTCTCCATGACACAACACAGATAACTGAACTGTACGCATGGGACCGAGCAGAGCAGATGCACAGCTGATTACCACCAGCCTGATTGCGCACAGATCAGGCAGTTTTTCCTGGTGCGTGCTCCAAGTGGAGTGAGGCGAGCGATTGCAGACAGACATTACCGAACGCAGTCAGAGGGGCCAGCCAGAGGGTGTGTGGGAACACACCAGTGAGGTGACGGCTGCACTCGTGTAGCGAGTTAGAAGCACAGAACACACACATCTGTAGATGTACCAACTGAGAAAAAGAGAAGCAGATAGACCTGCCTCCAAAATACATTAACACATTGGATGAAAAAACACGTGAGCACAGAGACAATTATACATGATTTTGATACTCAATAAAGGGATTTGTTAAGGGAAAACAATATTTCAGACTTTATAGGGCAGTCTGAAATATTGTTTTGTGCTGTGTTACATATTAAACTGTCATGACTTTTCTCTCTTTGTTCCAGAAACAAAACAAAGCCTTATGTTTCATGGTGATTGTCTACTTTTACTTCTTTGCAAGCCTGCTATCTGGCTGGATGGACGAGGGGTAATTCTATTTATGGACAAGGCTTAAGCTCCCAAACTGGACAAATGTCTGACTGACCATTTCATGCAGCTCTAAGGCTACTCACAAACACACTACACATGGAAAGGGAAGCTGAAATGACAGGGTGGTTTTTATTTCTTTCACACAACAACACTGGTAATCTCTCCATGAGCCAGCACACACTACATGAGTATGGAGGTCTGAGCACGAGTGTCTCTGACACAGGCTGGACTTTACATAAGCCTCATATGGTCTGACTTGTGCGCTGGAGCAGAACAGGCAGAATGACACTGATAATGCTGCAGTCGCTGGCCACCGAGCCAAACCAGTTCAGAGCCCAAGTTCAGCCAGTCAGCCTAACACAGAACAGTGCTCAGGCTTCCAGCTGCATCAAGAATAACAAGCTGTGAAGCCCTGGCTCTCTCCTTGTGTGTGTGTGTGTGTGTGTGTGTGTGTGTGTGTGTCTCTCTCTCTCTGTGTGAGTGTAAGTGCGTGCGTAGTAAAGGTCTTATATGAGAAGCACCCTGCCAGAACTAATGCTTGGCCCCTATCAAGGTACAGCTTGCACAACCGCACTCTCAAACACATGCTGGTGCATAAAACACCAGGGAAAGAAAAAAAAAAGAGAGAGAAAATGAGAAAGATGTTTGTCACATATGTTGGTTTGAGAGTTGACTCACTTATCTGGCATTTCACTTTGAACTGCGAGAGGCTGCCGCAATAAATATACCTGTTTAACTACAGAATGGCCGTCCGTAAGTGTGGCAGTAGATTTCCAGGCTTACATTGTGTGCCTCATTTTGAACCCTTCAGAGCATTTCAACCAAAAAATAAATTGGTTCACAACCTGAAAAGTTGGTTCCCAGTTGGAACAAAAAAACAGCAGATTTACCCTGACCTGAAGTGTGAACCAGGGTGACATCAAGCGGCATGTCATATTCTACAGGTTGCAAAAAGAGGATTGAGTCATGCACATAATAGTCTTTCACTTCAACCTATCATTAATAGTTGGTCCGTGCTTATTTTCTGGATACAAACTAATACTCACATTTAATCTGTGTGATGTCATATTGTTTCTGTAAGCTGTTTTGTTGAGCTGCCGCTTAGCAAGGTGCTCTGAGTACATTTAAACACGGCTTATACTGCGAGAGGTAAAAGTGGAAGAGTTGAAAATGTGGAAAATAATACAGCGAGTTGCCATCTAGGTTCAGACTACCGAGCCTCCGTGTTTGTATTTTGTTTCCTACATAAGTATAGGCATAACTTATAAACCCTGGCTGCACTAAGACTGTTTACTTCGGTTGTGAACTGTGCAACGCCCTCAGTTGATGACACATTCTTGATTACAACAGTTCCACTCTGAACTGCTAAAAACGCTGCTTCGCTATATCACCAAGGTTCCAAGAATCCTGAACAGACCCGGTTTAAGAACCACAGCTAATTTGGCTAAAACAGAGTGAGGACGAAAGGGTTTTCCAAGTTTTTTTATGTAAGAACTTGACTTGCCTGGACAGAAAAGTTTAATGACAACATACTAGTGTAATGTCTGTGAGTCCACATACTTTTGGCCATGTACTCTATTCATTAGTGAGCTCAACAACTGGTCTGGTCACTTGGAAGGGCAGCTTGTCAGCACTTCAAATTAAGCAATTGTAATTTTCAAGCTAGTGTATCAGGACATGTTTCTATAGCCCCTTTTCTGCTGCCAGATTTTCCGCGAATGTTGGGCCGTTTTGCCGGCAAGCTGCGAGCGCTTAGACACACAGAACCGGATTGGCAACTTTGATCCTCCCCCTCGCCTCGTAGGGTAGTCATATTGGCGGAACCCTCTTACTTCAAAAAGACCGAGGCGACCTTCCACAACGGAAGGGGCTGTTGAAGACTTGTGGGAGGAGCTGTTGATGACGCAGCATGTGCGACCCACTGGCGGTGGATAAACAGGAAACAGCTGATAGCAGGAATTAGCGAGCAGCTGGTAGCAAGAGGGAAACACAAACCTGACAGACACTGTAAAGATGAGCAACTGAGGAGACAAGGAATTGCGCACCCTCCTTGTCCTCGCAAACGAAGAGGCCATTAACAGTCAGATGACGGGGACGGTGAGGAATGGGCCGACTTATGAGAGAATCGCCGAAGGACTGACCAGCCGTGGCTTTTCTTCCCTTCCCTTCACTGTTTACGTCACACGCTGAGCTACACATTTTGTTACTTGCTCACGCCCTCCACTGCCCCGAAAAAGGTGCATTCTGTATAAACAAAAGTAGGTAGGCGGCATTTTGCTACACTCCCCAATTTTGTTTTTATACTGCCAATGCTGAAAAAAGACTGATTGGGCTTTCCTGCAAATTTGCACAATTCCTATCTAAAAAAGGGCTCGTGTGTGTTCATTCTACCTTATTTGTCGGTCTGCGCTCTCCACACAGACGTGCTGAGGAGGTACTTGCTTCCATCGCTCCGCCTCCTTCACCATCGCCTCAGCGTCCATCAATCCAAAGCCGTACAGGTGGCTGACTGCAGGAGACGGTAAAAAAAAAAGTCACAGCTGATCAGACTGCTCCAACGCTGACTCTACTGGCTCTCATGCCAATGATGGTTTATCAAAACACTATTTATAGTTTAAAGTCTTACAGAAGATTTTGCTTTTTTCCCCGAACTCTAAAACATGCAACCACAAATAATATGAAAGGTCAGATTAAGAATCAGTGACAAGACTTCTGGACAAGTTTGTAGCCCTCCTTTAAGGCATCTAGTATTGTAATGTTTTTAAAGTCCTACTAAAGACTGTTATGTAAAAGCAAAAGTTCAGAGCATCAAGTGCTTTAACAGGTATTCTCTACTGAGGACACCTAATGTACTTGTCTAGAAGTGAAAAAGAAAGTTTGGAAACCACTAAACTTATGGGTACAGCAGCTCAAATATGAATTCCTTCCATACTTCTCCCACTGCCCCCCCCCCCCCCTGTTCTGGTTCTCTTTAGTTCCTCTTTGAAAAAACAGTCACTTGGAAAATCTCCAGGCACACTGGGCCTGCAGCCTGGCTGACCCCTAGTTCTCACTCTGTTGGGTTTCTCTCCCTCATACAAACACACACACACGCACGCACACACACGCAGGTATGCATACACACTTAGACACGCACGCACAAAGTTAAGAGCAACCACCACATGGACCCTGACAGATGGCAGCTGGTGGCGCAGTAGTTAAGCAAGAAGGAAACATTTTTGGAAACTGCTCATCATCCTTCTTCTGATTGGAGAGAAACTAATGCAGGAGTCAAAATACTGCATATTGATTTCTCTGTAACTGCTCTGTATTGTTCTTTCAAACACTCTACATCCCACTATGAATCTTCAATGCAACTGTTAGTTAACTGATGTGTTGAGACAATATTTACTGACAAAAATTTGACAGTCCACAGCATCATCCATGACACAGTCCTGCATTTAAACTGATGTGAAAACAAAGAGATTTGGATTTTCTTTCAGCGTCCTTTGACACAACCATAAACAATATATATCTATATATAAACTCTATCTGTAGTGAACTTTTGACTGATTTAAAGATAGTTTTGTGGGGTATAGGATAGGGCTGGGCAATGGACGATGACACTGCTGTACAGCACGGTGTGTGTTTGTCTGACAGAGGGAGTGACAGAGAGAGGGGGGAAGGTGGACTATATTAAGTAATGGGTCTGTAAGTTATTAAAAAGTAAACTCCAGTAAATTAAAAAAACAGGAGTCAGCCCAGTGGATTTGAGCAGATATTGGTAAGTGACGGGGACATTGAAAAATCTTCACAATGGTGGCGACAAACTTCATTCATTCATTCATTTATTCATTCATCTTCTAACCGCTTCATCCTCTTGAGGGTCGCGGGGGGGCTGGAGCCTATCCCAGCTGACATCGGGCAAGAGGCAGGGTACACCCTGGACAGGTCGCCAGACTATCGCAGGGCTGACACATAGAGACAGACAACCATTCACGCTCACATTCACATCTACGGACAATTTAGAGTTATCAATTAACCTAGTCCCCAATCTACATGTCTTTGGACTGTGGGAGGAAGCCGGAGTGCCCGGAGAGAACCCACGCTGACACGGGGAGAACATGCAAATTCCGCACAGAAGGGATCGAACCGGGAACCCTCTTGCTGTGAGGTGACAGTGCTAACCACCAAACCACCGTGCCGCCCTGCAACAAACTTAGTCACTAAAAAATACCACTTAGTCAATCTGGCAGCCCACAATACATTTGATAGATGAAACAGAATTGTTACTTTTTAAGCATTCAACAAATGCCATCAGTACCACCACAAACACATGCCCCAGTGTTGGTGTGGAAGGAGGAATGTGGGGGAGAAGGGGCTTTTAAATGAGCTCAGTGGTCAAACACTGACTGCCATTGGTCCATTGACATCCATTGATCCAGTCCTAGTATATTTTTTATTGCCGATCACTTAACAAGACTCTAGCATTAAGTTGATAATTTATGGTGAATTTCCATCATGGCAATAATTGTGATTATTGTGTCCAGCATCTCCCAAAAGTCTGCTGGGCAACCACCAATAAAAACTGTGCAAAAAAGGCTGCTTACACACTAACCTCAAAATGCAATGCAAAAGATCTTAATCAAGCACTGGCATATTTTTTATCAAAATATATGATGCCATTTTAAATAGTTGAAAGGCCTGGGTTTTTTTAGATCGTTTTTCACTGTAAAAATATGTATGTCTTATCTGTGATGCAATATAAATATTTGTTTCTGTAAAAATGTAAAGTATGGGCCCAAGAATCTATGAACTATCAAACTGACATGGTTGGAAGCCAACATCAATGCAACACAAGAGCAGTGCTCCTCATGTTAATGGTAAAATAGTAAGAGGCTCATTTTTCTACACTATGATCTCCTTATGGAACAACCTTCCCCTGCATGGTAAACAAAGCCAAACAACAGTTCTTAAAACAAATGTTAAGGAGGATTTGTGGGGAGGGTTGATTGTTGTTGACTGTTCACTCAGTTTCTGTAGCCCTACATTAACCATGGGGGTACCACAGCTATAAAGAGGTATCTCCTACCTTATCTCTCCCCTTTTGCTGTTGTGCTCTGTGGGAGAGGTGAGCGACATTGCTATCGTAGTTATTTCTGTGTTTTAGCACTGTTAAGCTGTTCATTTTATACTAACATAATCCTGTGTCACTTAAATTGTGTAGGGGCTCGGGGTTAAATGGTTGTATTTGACAGAGGATTTTGTTTTCACCTCTTGTTGCCAGGAATAAATAGAGATGGCCTCCAAAGGTTTCCATGATCTGGGCCTCTTCATATCAACAGACACTAGGGTCCACCAGTCACATATGTATTGTTTGCTGTTTCCATTAAGGATCACATTGGAAATATGTGTTTTTAGAAAAGCACTGTCCTCTGGGATTTTAGAGTCACGTTTTGAGTCATGATGCTTATAAATTCCTAATAAAAATCAAAGGAAATAATAAAAAAAAGTGAGTCCATATGTTTTAAGCATATTTTGATGATTACTGGTTAATATCATTAATCCCACTTATTTTCACCAGGATAATCGTGAATTTTTCATATCGTCCCGTAACTAGCTGTGTAGAACTCCTAAAAAGATACTGAGATTCGTTCCAAAGCAATCTGATCCTCGGTGTGTGTGTGTGTGTGTGTGTGTGTACCGTTGTATCCAGCAGCATTGGTCTTCCAGTCAGGGGCGCTGAGATGTCCGGCTCTGGAGGTCTTTACAATTATGTGCTGCACATCTCTCCATGTTAAAAGAGGACTGTTGGGAAAAAATTAACACACCAACACATTAATATATTTATTGTAAAATATCTGTGGACCAAGGAGTAGGAACACATAACAAAGCAGGAACTAAATAAATAAATAAGTGATATAAAGACCTGCTGTCCTATGCACATACTTAAACAGTCCTACGCATACATTTCAACAAACACAGATACGACAAGGTCAAGCAGCACTGATGATGTAAATACAGGAATGATGATGAGAAATATGTTTTGAATTATGCATTATGCTTTGAAAAGAAAAGCTGAACATGAAGAGAAAAAACAAAGGACTAAAATGGGAGAATGGACAGTAAAACGTGGAGAGATTTCTTCCTCATGGGAGTAAATTCACAACACAACATGGGGGAGGGCTGGTGGATTAAAGAGGAGCATAAAAAGTTTAGGATAAAAGAGGAAGGAGATTAAAAAACAAAGCGCATGGACGAAGAACGCAGATGAAATGTAAAGCAAGGTAAATAAAACACAGTATTATATACAGTAGGTGGAAGATTACTGAGGGAGAAAATTACAGAGAGGCAAAGACGGAACCCGTAGATGCCCATTCACCCATCCCTCGCTTCTCAGATCTCACGTGAGATCCATTACGAGATGGCAGCCATGTGCCTCAGCCGCTTTGATGTCCAAATGCTACATTAAAAAGGAAAAACCAGGAAGAAGTGGGTCACCAAGTTTCCTGGGATTCCCTTCCATCTCATATGCCGTCCAGATGCTCCATTCCCTCCCCTCATGTCACTCCCTCACCATCTGAGACCTCCAGAATCTGCACTACTCTCAATCAGTCGACCTAAAACAAACATTTAAGGTTTGCAACCCAACATTTTGAAATTTAAGAAGATATGATGCGAGAGGGAGACAGAGAGTGACAGGCGGCGAAATGAGTCTGACCTGAACACACTGTGCCTTTGCCCGTTGAGCCGCTTACATAAGAGCAGGTTCTCTCACATCTTACTGTGATCTCTTAAACCAAAAATGCACTTAAAAATCTTCAACATCTGGGAGAAGTCTCAGCATCACACATTTAGCTGCTGACTTTCAGAGATTACGGTCAAAAGCCTCCTTCGCATATGCACTTTATCCTGTAAATGTTCTGTCAATTTTATTTATCTGTGTCAGGGAGTAGCACTACTGGGCTGTGGACGGGGTTCATCAAGGCCATGCTTGGTTTTGTAAGTCGCTAGGTTTTCTGTATTTTTATCTTTAATATTTTCTTCTTTGCATATATTGCGTTACATATTTTATGGCTTTAATGTAAAAAAATTGCATTTACTTGTAATGAAAAGAGCTGTACATAAAATGCTTTATCTTTTTCCCTGATGTCACATGAGTTATGTGGAGTTGCACACATGGTGAGAGAAAAATAAATAATCTAGGAAATAAACATGTGTTAAAGAGTCAGATCTTTGCCATATACAACAATCCCAGATTGACAGATGCTGAGTATTGCTGCCTTACATAGATATCTGAAGCTAGCTACATTTAGAGGTTTGGTGTGATTTTATTCATTAGCTGAGTCAAGTTACAGAACCACATTTGGATTTGTCAGTCGGACATGTGTGATAAGATCCTGAAGTTTCTGACCTTCAGGACACAAGGATTTTTTTTTTTTTTGATTCCCAAACTTTTGCACACTACAAGACAATGTGTGCTGGCTGTCCCCACTGACCTGTCCTATTTGCCACAGGCCAGCCATCATAACAAAATCCAAATCATAGTTGGTATTTTAATTCCAACCATTTAATTTGTAGTTTTACTTAGAGAGCAGAAAAATTCAGCTATGCAGAGAGCTGGCCATCAATCTCTCACAGCACGGAAGAATATGTAAACATTTCACATTAGCTGTCCATCAGGCATTTAAAGCAAAGTAATTAAATGTATCTAATGGAGTGTTCGGTCCATTTTGCAGTTATCAGGTTAACATTCAAAACACACCCTGACACACCAAGCCCAAAGTCGGCAGGTGGTCAGTGCTGGGCTGTCAGTAAGGGTGCTTTCAAACCTGCCCTGTTTGGTTCAGTTCAATTGAACTCAAGTTCATTTGCCTCCTAACTGCAGTTTGTTTGGGAAAGTGTGAACAGAGCAATCGCACTCAGGTGCGCATCAAAACAACTGGATTGAGACCTTCTTGAAGAGGTCGTCTTGATCTGGTTACAAATGAATTCTGGTGCGGTTCGTTTGTGCTGAGAACGTGTTGCGACCTGGATGTGAACCAACTGCAGTCTCATTACACATTGTTTGGGTTAAACATGAGCATGTTACAGTCCTGGAGGATTATTAATGTGCACCTCCTCCTGTACTGCCTTAATATGCACATTCAGCACATCCAATGCATCAAAACATTGTTTTCTAGTTGGAGCCGCGCCTCGTTTTCAAACTGTATGGTTTGACTAAAATGAAAAATGACAGCAATATAGTCCACGATGCCCAGCGCTAAAATCAACCTGCGTAGTTGTCCCTCCATTGTGACATTAGAAAGTGTCACATTTATCTTGCAAGTGTACTCCTCTTCAACGTTTTGTTTACTTCCTGGATTTTTCCCACATGGAAATTCTGACCAATCAAGAGCAGCTTTCTCACACAAGCATTTTATCTGGTCTGCTTGTAAATGCTGCTGTGAGAACACAAACCAACTCTAGGCAATTATGCAACTTTGTAACAAAATTAGTCTCTGATTCGGACCAAAGTAAGCGAACTCTCGGTCTTGAAGCACCCTGAGTGTCTGTCACCCTGGTTTTTGAGGTGCGCCCCGCAACATTCTTCCTACTCGGCCCTTGTTGCCTGTTTTTGACACTTCAGTGCATTGAATTGGCAACAGAGACAGTGGAGCGTGTTGGTGAATAAAATCACCCTGATTGGCAGTTCAACTCAGCGAACACAGAGAGAAACTAAAGTGCGGACTGTAAACAAATGGCAAAAGTCAGGAGGTCGTGACTTTGAAATAAACTTGTTAAAGTAGGTAAGATTATGTTTTTAGCCACTGAGCTCTTTAGCAGAAACTGTTCATATTTGTCTGTGTTATTGTTTGCTAGCACACAGTAAATATAGTTTGGTCTTTCAACATCAGGTTGTGTTGTTAATGTGCTAACTGGCTAACAAACCAGTGCCTTGAATCTTTTAATGAAGATTAATGAAGACTACCTTCGCCTGCTGCTATGGAGAGCTATTTCCTTTCACGCAGGCACAGAACGTACATGCTAGTTGGTCATTGGTTGTGGTCTTTGTGGTGTGTTCGTGTGCAACTTTTTGGCTAAGACACAGGCAACGTGAGCCGACGCAACAGTCGGACTTTGTGGCCACTAGTTCTCTGATGTCTGTTTGGTGTGTCTGAGCCTTACGAGATGAGATCGGGATAAAACAAAGAAAAGAAATACTGGATGGAAAGAAAGTTTTGTCTTTTTATGGGAGGTGCTGCTTGCAGTGAAACTGCAGTACCACATCACTGTGATGCCCAGAATAAAACAGTAGCTAAGATACTAACAGGCTGTTACATGTTTAAAATTCACTAGCAGCCTCAATGAGCACACACTTGTCTAATCCAACTGAAAAACACACAACAGCTGAAAATAAAATATCAAGTAAAAAATAATTAAAGGATGGTAGCACAGATAAGTGCCATGAAAAGTTGGATTCATTAATGTTCAGATCAATATTAATAGGCTTAGCTGCCACTGTGTAATTATGGTTTCATAAATGTTTTATGGTCATTAATTAAAAGTGACTTTGGCATCGTTATCTAGGCCACGACAGCCTCCCCATAAACAAGCCAATACTAATTAATGGAGTAGCTCGCATACTGGGGAAAACCAGCAGCAAATCAGTATGTGTAATATAGGTTTCTCTGCATGCTGCATCCAAGTGTAATCATGGATGAAAACACACATCTGTAGAGAGAATGCAAAAAGGGAAGGGAAGGAGGAAAATGAAAAGGCAAAAAGCCAAAATTTCCAGTAGTCCATCTCACCTTGGTTCAAAATGTTACACATCAAATTAAAATTTGCCTCTCTAACTTGAACTTTAAAGCCAATGACCCTGTCCCTGCTTTGGTTGCTTAAAACCTCCCAGTAGATGAGATTCTTATGGTATCCTTGCTTATTTCTTGTTTATCCTCCTAATTTCCTCACTGAAGTCTCCTGTCTCCACGTTCACTCTCTTTTCCATCTCTCCACTTCCAAGGACAAAAGGAAAGGGGAAAGAAATAAAAGTTTCTGAAGCTCTAAAACATCGCCGCCACTTGCCGTGCTAGACTCGAGCCCATAAAGAGATAAATCATGTACTGACTTAAAACATCTTAAACTTGGCAAAGTCTACAGAGAGCGGAGCATGGGACAGTTTTCTGAAGCAACATGTTCCAATCCACTCTCATACCGAGACCTCACAACAGAGAGTTTAAAGAAGTCTAGGGCAATGGCGTCTTGACATGTTTATCACAGAGACTGCTCGCTTTCATTCACCAGATAAGAGCAGATATGATCAGTATGCCACAGAATTTGTCTAAACTCTTTCCGTCTTTTGCTTTCATCTTCTGTTTGCCTGCGTGTGCATGCATGCAAGTTTATCCATGTGAGAAAGTGAAAAAAGGAAAGAAAGAATGAAAGAGAGTGTTTGCCTTGGAGGAGGGAAAAAAAGACCATCGTGACAGTAGTGGAGGCACAGCACGCATGACAGAGAGGAGGTGAGAGCTAGCAGAAGAGAAGAAAGCAGGCAGGCAAGAAGCAGTGTGTGATAATCTTGTTGAGGAAACAGGCTTATGTGCCCAGCACTGCCAGGAAACTGAGAATATTTTCTACTGGGAGGATTTGGATTGGATTATCCAGGTTAAATGAAGTGACCTCAGCTAACTGAGCTGCTCAACATGTGATGATGGGGTAAAGCCCAATTCAGAGTCTCCGCACCTGCACTGCACTCTTTCCGATTAACGAATTTATCACAAATAAAGCACATCGACCGTTTTCAAAGAGGGGGGCAGGACAGACATCCGCTGTGTCTCACACAGACAGAAACCAGGGCATCTAGACGGCACAAGGGCAGGACAGGACTTTGAAACTGACTGAAAATAAACTGCTTTTAAAATCTGTCTTTCTTACTTTTCTCATCTTTGAAAGTGCCAACTTTGAAATTGGCACTCCTGTCCCCTCTAGCAGAAATGTTTGGCATGAAAGCACCTGGCCCCAAAATGTCTGTGGGTAGCCCTGCTTTTTGCAGAAAGCATGAAATTCTGTCACCAAGGACATCTTCAAACCAAGATCTAAATGGTTTATATGTTTAAAAGCAACAAAACAGGACAGTTAATAATAATGATGACATTGTTATACAGGTGATTGTGTTATAAGAAGCATATCTCAAGACAACCATCTGTGTTACATCACAGTTTTTTATATGGATAAATATAAGAGGGGAACAGATTTATCAGTTTGGCTGATTAATCAGTGCCGACAGGAAGCTTCACAAACTATGTTATTGATGGAACTTGGCTCCAATAGTTCAACCAGTCACATGAGAACGTACACCGACCAGAGCCAAAGAGGGGAGGGCTGTGTTAAATGATCAATGGGTACAGCTCCATAGAAAGCAGGTCTCCTCTGATTTGTGAGTCTGCCCAAGTGTATTGTTTCTTTTAACAGCCAGCTAAAGACACACCTGATTAGATCGGCGTTTGGGTAACTTGTGTGCACCAGAGCTGTATTTTCCCAAGTTTTGTGTATTATTGTTGTGTGGTGTGAATTCTTCTTTCTTTCTTCTTTCTTGTGTGTGCAAACAGTTTTGCTTGACATGCTTGACCTTTTCATGTAGTCACTTTGGTCTCTAGGATTACTTCTTATTGTATATTGGCCTTGTGAAGCATTTTGTGACTTATGTCTGCCAAAAGCGATATATAAATAAATCTGACTTACTTACTTACTTATTGTTCTTCATTTTAACATGTATTTGCATAAAGTTTTGTAGGTAAACTGCAACAACAGACACTGTTAGACACTTCTTCCACAGTGTTGGGGGTGGTTATTGGCTTTTACCTATTCCCTATTTCCTATTAAAATGGCATTTAAAATTCCCCACTGTCGACCTCTAGAAAATATACCCTTAAAACATACAGTAATCATATTCTATATTTATTCATTATTTTATAAAGAGCCCTCTGTTTTATAGACAGCTGACATGAAACACTGTGTACCAAAGTGCCATCATGAGAACAGCCATAAACTGACAGAACAGTTCAGAGTTCACGTCTGCAGTAAAAGACACAAACACGCTTGTCTCAGAATCCCAAGACTATATTGTGATATTTGTGTGAATGTCTCTGAGGAGATGGTACTGCAATATATTATTATATCAAGTCATATGTCCCAACTCCGTTAACACTACACTATGTACACACTTCAGCTATATATAGTTGTCACTACTCACGTGCTTAATTCTGTTAAAGTTCAAGCACAGTTCACCACTGATAGCGTGTCTCTACACTTGAGTGCCTGAGTGTACCAAAACTCCCCTAAAACCTTTTCAAAGGTGCACTAGAGGCCAGGATTCATCAACAAACTTCCCCTACCAAGAAAAATGGTTTGTCTGTCACATCAACACACTGTCCACTATTGATTTTGGCCTGACATCCAGAATAACAGTTTAATATCAACAGCCTAAGACTCCCTTCATTCAGCATTTCAATTTTAACATCTGCTGATATTTGTGACCCTAAGACCTGCTTTGGCTGAACCAGAAGGGGTCCTACATTAATACGACCTTTCAAGAAGGCATCCCTGCCAGCTGCAGATGTAGAATCAGTAAATGTAAATACATCACGACATAGAGGCGGGTTAATTGCATGTAAGTGCTGAAACTCTGAATTGACCGGATGCAGGTGTATAATGTACTATGGTGAGATAATGTGCTCTAACCATTACATTCTCTAGCCCACCATCCAGAAGTACATTTACATTTGTTGTGCTGCTCACACTAAAAGCAAGAAGCTGATCTGTGAGCACGCATGTCCTGCAGGAGTGTCTCTTCCTCTGATGACCTGTATGTCTCCTCACAAATGTTGCTGGGATTAACTGACTTAAACAAAGACAGCATTTTCCAAGTATTTAAATGCATCTCCACGCTGACTTGACAATGATGCATTTGTGAGAAAACGCTTCACGTGTTCCCCTCGGAGATCAATGAGGCCAGAGGACAAGAGGGCATTAGGAGGTAAGCAAGGGACAAAAAGATGAAGCGAAGGGATGAGGTTAAGTGGATCTTACTTTGCCTCCAGGGCCAGAGCAATAATGGCAGCAGCCATGGGAGCCGAGGCCGACGTCCCCGTGTGACTGTCTGTACATCGATGTCTCAGGTCTGTTGTGATCTGCAGATAGAGGAGAGGAAAAGGAGAGTGAAGTTACACAGGGGATAAAAGAGAAACAAAGAGGAATGAAGACAGAGAAAGGTGAGCAGGGAAGAGATGGGAAAAGAAGGAAGGAAAGAGTCAAAGACGATATTCAGAGGAAAACAGATGAAGAAGCAGGAGTCGACGGTTACAGGAGGAGTGAAGTGAAAGAAGAGCGGAAAAACAGTGACAGGCAGGAGGAGAGGAAGAAAGACACAGACAGACAGAGATTGAAGTCATGAGGATCAGGAGGATTTAGACACACCTGAAACTCCTGAAACTCACATTCCAGCTTTGATACACAGCCTCACTACAGATAACATACACAGATGCTCACACACACACACACACACAAGTAAACATATCAGTGGTTTTCCCCAAGAATTCAAGAAATCAATCCAACCCCCAAGGAGAAGGCAAGGACGGAGAATAAAGAAGGTATAAAAAGTAGTAAAACATGTTGTTAAAGCGCTGTATGTTCACTTTGATTGTATGGACTTTAGACAGCCAACTAGTCAGACAGCTTGACAGTCAGTCAGCCAAGAAAAGCTTGGCTAACTTCCAGCCTGAGCCCTCATCAAAGGACCTTTCCTGGACCAAAAAGTTTGAGGGATTATCTGATGACACACACACACACACACACACACACACACACACACACACACACACACACACACACACACAGAATCCGAAATGGTTTACTAAGAAGTGAAAGTGGTCCAACAGCATTTAGCAGACAGGACAGTGTGTGCTCAAGTAGATTAGAATGACATTCAGGTATATGAGGTTCTACTGTAAGTGTACCAAGCCGGAGGGAAACTGGCGAGAATGTGTGTGTGTGTGTGTGTGTGCCTGTCCGTAGCATCAGTCTGAGGAATGTAGTAAGACGCTGCCAGACAAGCTAGCTCACAGTGGACAACTGTCACTGTCCGTCCCAGTGGATCATGGGATTGATTTGGGTCAAACCAGGCCACACCACTGTAGCCACAAGCAAGCACACACCGACAAGGCCAAGTTAATGCCAAAAGCATCATGCTCTGTTCTTAAAGGGATAGTTCGGAATTTTTTGAAGTTGGCTTGTCTGAGGTACTTCTCTATATACAGTGCATTAAGGCCCAGACAAACCAAAGTGACATCAGAGAACTAGTGCAACAGTCGTCCTTCGCTGCGAAGGACGACTGTTGCATCTGCTCACGTTGCCAAAAGTTACACCTGAATGTACCATAAAGACTACAGCCAACGACCAACTAGCATGTACATTCTGCACCTGTGTGAGAGGAAATAACTCTTCATACAAGCAGGCGGAGGTGGTCTGTATTCACCCTAAAAAAAGGGAAACTGGAAGAGCGTCAGGACAGATTGACGACGCAAGTTCGTCAGTTAGCACATTAACAGCACAAACCAATGTTGAAAGAAAAAACATATTAACCCTGCGCCAGCGCACAATAGCACAATAGCACAATTGCAAACCCTTTCTGCTAAAGAGCTCAATGGCTAAAAACATAAGTATACCTAATACAACATGTTTGTTTCAGTCTTACACCCTCTTGACTGCATTTGTTTGTTTTCTTCACTTCCATCTCTCTTTACTGAGCTAAACTGCAAATCAGTGACTTAATTCACAGATGGGCTCCGCCATCTCAGAGATTCAACATGCTGAATTAGCCAGAAAAGAAGCCGACAAAGGTGGTGCAAATGGTGGCAAGACACACTGCAAAAAACTTGGGTGACAGATGCACACCGATGGCCTGACATTGACCGATAGCCAGTCTCTGGGCTTGACCTACAGTAGATGGCGGTCGAGAGGCAGGCAGGTGTACCAAGCTAAGCAATGTACTGCTGTGGATGGGGGCAGCAACAAAACATATTTTTGCCAGCTAAAAAGAAAATGTCACCTCTAAAGCCCAGTTCAGACCAAAGATTCTTGACAAGACAAGTTGAAACGTGCAACTACTTGCACGTAGTTCTGCAATGTTCTAAAAACCTGCCGGTTCACACCAATGCAACTAGATGAGGCGGTGTATCATCTCTATGCAACAACTTTCTGTACTTCCTTTCTGATTTCCAGCTTTTCAGGATTATTTTGCAGCTACCCACCATCTGACACTGAGGGAAACAGAGGGTTCGGTGGGGACGGAGCACCTTCTGCAGCAGGCAAACACACCATCTGCAGTCATTTTGACTTGACCAGTAGACTTCACTACAAGCCGAACGTTCCTTACGTTCTAAAACCAGCCAACAGTGATTTGACCAGCGGAGTTGCAGGTGACTCCATCAGCCAACTGTAGTCGAGCTCAAACCGGCCAGTTCACACTGCTGCAACCTTCTAAAACGGTTTCGTCTTGTCACGAATCATTGGGGGACTGGGCATTAAACACTACTTTACCCTGCTGTCAGACAGCTCTTTCTGATGGCGAACTAAAGCATATCAACGCTTTCTTAAAAGCCACCAGACTCCTTTGACAAAAAAAGTAATTTTACCTCCAAGAACACGGGAGTTGCTCATCTACCGTTGCCTCAAACAGTTAGTTTGTATCATTGTCTGACTTGAGTTTTCTAATCCTTCTAGGATTCACACAGACACAAAAGAACGCCGATCAAGACAACAGTAGATCAGCAACTCCCTGTTCTGTGAAGTATAACTGCTGTTTTTGTCAAAGGGTCTGGTGGCTTTGAAGAAAGCATAAATAATGGCTTCACTTCCCTGTCAGAAAGGGCTGTCTGATGGCAAGGTAAAGCAGTGCAAACATTCTCATTATGGTGCCCACTTAAACTGAGATTGATTTGATCTGTCTGCTTCTCCAAACTGAGGGTGTGCTGACTGACATCTGCTGTAGGTAATACACTGACGATGGATAAGTACCTCATACAGCCCCACCTCAAAAAATCTGAACTATCCCTTTAGCCGAATTTATATATTGGGTGTGCAAATGTTTTCATTATTTCAAGCAACTAATCAAAACATGGTCAGTATCCAATGTAAATTAATGGTTATCTAAGGCAGGGAGACAAACCTTGGCAAATCTTTGTGGTTCATGTCACACATTTAAAGATGGAAAACAGAAATCTTGTCCAAATTGCAATTAAGCACAAAACACCATGCTATAATTTGGACATCAGTGAAGAAGGAAAGAGCATTCTGGCTTTGCAGTAAAATTAGGCCATGGGTTTTTGTACTCCTTTCAAGAGCGAATGTGCTCTAGTGTGTGTGTGTGTGTGTGTGTGTGTGTGTGTGTACATGTGCGTGTTTGCAAGCAGCAGCAGTTCTTACAATTTTCCGGTCGTAGTTCTCTCCGCTGCTGTAGGTGGTGGTCAGTGTGGACGAGCATTCCTCCAGGTACCACGGCTTGCGTCCGCTCTCGGCTGTGCTGGAGATGGAGATGGTGTAGATAGAGTTGGTGTAGCCGTCGCAGGAGCAATGGTCTCTGCTGCGCCCGCCATTGCCTGATGCCCACACGAAGATGGAGCCACGGCCCTTCCTCCCCTGACAGGAAAAGATGCAGAGAGGATACAGTAAGAGGCTGCAGAGTTGTCTTAGAGGTAATTACTCCTCACCAGACTTTGTTTTGGCTTAGGTTTTTAATGTTCTGTTAATGTCTGTCATAAAGCACAGTATCAGGTTCTGTGTTCAGTGCACAGATATCACTGTATAAAGAAGATCAGCGAATGAAAGAGCTGGAGATGATCAGTAGGTAGCAGAGACTATGTAAATCCTCAGCAGTCCTGTGAGCATCTGGCAACAGATCTGATGTGATTTGATCCAAGTTCAGTAATCATAATGTTTCGACTGTGCAAAATAGAGTGGTGATTTTTTTTCCTTTGAAAAGTTGACATTGCTCAGTGGCATGCTGTGTTAGTGAGGTTTTTAAATGTTGGACTGAGGTGAATCTCCATCTCTCCTGACATCAGTAAAACAGCAGCAGAGAGACAAGTTCATTTACTAATTGACATCAGACGTAATGTATAACTAGAACCAGTCCTGTCATATGAATTAGTAATAAGTCAGATACAGGACGTTACTTTAAAAGATGTTTGGTATGAAAGTAGTGCACTTTATTGCATCATATCTGATGCTTGAATTTAGCTGTGTTTTTTTTTTTTTTAATTAATTTTCAGCAGGACGAGTGTTATTTTTTATTTTTGAGGGTAAGAGCTGAATCATCTTTTAAATCTCATCTCACGGTCATTTTCTAAATTTTAACTCTGCATTTACTCGTTTATCTTAACTCATGTTGTGCTATTTGCTGCTTAGTCTGAAAATACTGAATAAAAAAAACATTGTGTCATATCCTTGATGTTGGGACCTTGTGTACTCTGTTCCATTATTATTTATCTTGTCAGTACAGTACATGTTTGTCTGCTTTGCTCAATCTTGGTAAGTTTGTAACTTGATTGGATCATTGCTTCTCATCAGTCACACACCAATCGCAGCCCATTCTCACAACAAGGCAGTCCATTTAAATATGGCCTCCTACTCACTGATCCCTGCCACACCAATGCTGCCATACACCAATGCTGCAGCTGCTTCTTCCACTCCAGCCTCCACCCTCCAAATTCAGGGTCCAAACATGGCTTAAAGGTTAAATGGGTATTTTGTGTCTTGCTTTAGGCCCACTTTTGTATGACCGGGGGGGTTTTAAGCATTGAGTAGAGCCATCAGCGGCAAGCATAACTCTATTTCCATTTGTTGCTTTTAATGGTTAAATCTATGACGAGTGTTCCTGACTGACTGCACATGTAGACAAGAGTTTGTTTTCCACAGTATATACATATCACAGATAAATTATCTTTTATAAATTCCCATTTCCTCACAGCAAACAAGAGTTTTTAATAGGGTTGCACAATATACCAAAAAAAATCTAATTGCCATTGGTTTGACAGTGATAATTTGACTGCAACATAAGTCACAATTTTAGTGGGAATGGTTTATTTTCACTGAAAAAATGACATATAAAAATGTAACAAACATGTCTGCTCCCTTACATCTGGAACATGATTTGCAGGCTGGGGTATCTCTGTATCATTACAATGCTTCTTTGCTATTGCTATGTTGTGGCACATTATACCTTTACCAAAGAAATGCAGCTCAAGCAATTTGGATATTTCATTGGCCATACTGCCATTATTATTTCAACTAGTTTTAACAATGATTCTTAGTGCATGTTTTGCATTTCACCACGTTTAGGATGAACACTGCACACATATGGACATTTGTTATGTCTGAGGCCTGTTGCATGAGCAGCCAGGCAGCTGTTTAGTATTCAAATTTAGCTATCCAGAAGAGGTTAGACAGCATATTGAAAAAAAATCATCCCAGATGTATTCAGAGGACCTTACTAATTGAGAGGCCATGGCCAGCTCAGAGTGTGAATAAAGACATCAATTCATTTACTAATGGAGTATTCAGTCTCAATTATTTTGAAGTGGAGACCTTCTCAAGCCAAATAGCTTTTACTATTCAATTGTTCTTCCAAAATTGGCAGAGTTGAAAATGATCTAAACACAGGCCTGGTGGAGACACACTGAGCCAGTTACAGTGCCGGTGATGACCGACTGAGTTGTGAAGGCAAATTTCAGCCAGGAGTCAGCAAAAAAAAGACATCTGATGAACTGACCGACACTGCGATTTGCCCTGTTTGTCAAGACACACTCAACAACATTCATGCGCGCGCACACACACACGCACACGTGCGCGCACACACACACACACATACACACGGATAAAAAAACAGAGTGGAGTTCTTCAAAAGGGGGCTTCTGTCAGGCAGCGATAAGCGAGTGGAGCCCCTCTGAGTGAGAGGGGGATCAGACAGGAGCAAACGCTGACAGATGAGAGCGATGGAGAGCGCTTTGAAAGAAAGGAAGGGACAAAGAATGAGAGGTGGGAGGAAACGGTGAGTAGAGAGCACGAAGGGGACATGAGGATGAAGGAGAGGAGGGGGGTGAAACAATGCAGAACTGATGGACAGTGATCATCATCAAGAGTTTGAAATGGTGCCTATGTGATTTATTGGTCAGAAGAAATGCCAATTAATGAACGTGTTGCATCATAAAGTTCATCATTAACAACTTTAATGATTGATTATTTCATCTAGCAAAGATGCTAAACATCAACAGGTTTTCAGCTTTCATCTACTTTAGTGCAATATTATTCTTCAATATCATGATCACCTGTCAATGTAGAGCAATATCATTTTCTCCGTCATGTGCAATACTAGTTTTCATTGTTATATCAAATTCAATATAACAATATAACCACCATTCTAGTTCATTTTAAGTAACTCTTGTACTATTCATACTCCTATTGTTTCTCTATTAGACACTGGTTTTTGTTTTCGCTCCTAGGAAACACTTCTATCTTGTATATTTGTTATTTTGCCAAATATTGAACACTGTATTGTTATAAAACTGTGTGACTCTAACCTGGGGAACCTACTGGTTGTGAATTGTTAAAATTGTGGTCACTGTAATTTGAACCGTTCTCTGGCATTAATTATTCTTAATTTTAATTTATCCTGAATTTCGTTCGGGATAAATTAAGTTCTACTGAACTGAATTGTTTTCTCTAATAATATATTATTGTGAATTAAATATTTTACATTTTGCACTGTGGAGCAACAAAACAAAAAAGCTGCTGCTGTCATCTTGGCTCTAGAAAATTGATGAGTATTAATTAAATGTTAGGGCTGCACAGCTAATTGAAGTATTATCAAAATCGCAATACGGCCAAGAGCAATATCCAAATCACAGGAGCTGCAATTTTTTGATAAAGGTGATGTGTCACATATAAATGAAGCATTGTAGCACTACAGAGATGCCCTGGCCTACAAATCATATACCAGACGTAAGGGAACATGCTTGTTTGATACAGACATCATCATCATGTTTATGTTTTTTCAGTGAAAATAAAATGCAAAAATTACCATTCCCACTAAAATCCTGACTCTTATGGCAATTGCAACTTCTGTCAAAATAATCTGTGATTTTTTTTTTTTTTTTGCATATCATGCAGCTCTACAAAATATCAGAAAATAGTGATTGATCAACGATGAAAATAATCCTCAGTTGTAGTACTAAAATGTCCTGAAACCAGAAAAAAAGTACAGAGAGAGCTTCAATGAAGATATATTTTGAAGGATATCACTGTTTGAATTAAAAGCTACTTCCACACAGACAGGGTCAGCCTAATCAGAAACACCTATGAGAGGAAAATGTTGTGCATAGGCAACAAGCGCACACACAGTTTCCCTTCAGTTTTCCACACATACAGCAACACAAGCCGAGTACAACTCTCCCCACAGCTGTCAGTGGTATCTCTAACACCTCAGCTCTCTGTGATAAACTGTCTCTTCAGAGTGTCACACAGGTACATGTTACACCCACAAGCATGTCATCTCCACTCAGCTTCACAAACACACACTCACACACACACTCACTCACAACAGCAGGAGGGCATGCAAGCGCATACACATGCCCAACTCGTACCAGCTGGACAGATATCTCCCTCACCTCTGTCATCTTAAAAGGCCAGCCTGTCAGGAGCAACGGGGACTCTCTTCTGCTCACACTCCCTATGTGTCCATCCTTTTTTCCTCTCTTTCTCTTCTCTTTTTTGTACCATGCCACAGGCACTCAGCCTTGAAGTCAAAGTTTTTGCTTTCTGCCTCTCTGTCTCACCTCCTCAGAGGTCTACATCTGCTTAACCAAATGGCAAAAAGCCAGTCGTAGCAAACTTTGTAAATGTGTAGATGTATGTGTGTGTGTGTGTGAGACGTGACCACTGAATGACTTCACCCCTCTTAACCTCTGTTATAGCTTTTCCACTCCACTCAGCCAACAACATGGCAGCAGCTTGTCGTTATGCAAAATAAGCTATGAATATGTAAATGAATATATGCTAATAGGCCAGGGCAGCTCTCTAATGTCCGGAGGAGCTTCACAGGTAGAGATAGCCAGCTAGGACTTTCGGATATGAGTATATGAGAGTGAAACACACACACACACACATATCTGCTAGTGTGTGTTTGTGTGTTTATATCTTTTCTCAACATACAGTACAGGCCAAAAGTTTGGACACACCTTCTCATTCAATGCGTTTTCTTTATTTTCATGACTATTTACATTGTAGATTCTCACTGAAGGCATCAAAACTATGAATGAACACATGTGGAGTTATGTACTTAACAAAAAAAGGTGAAATAACTGAAAACATGTTTTATATTCTAGTTTCTTCAAAATAGCCACCCTTTGCTCTGATTACTGCTTTGCACACTCTTGGCATTCTCTCCATGAGCTTCAAGAGGTAGTCACCTGAAATGGTTTTCCAACAGTCTTGAAGGAGTTCCCAGAGGTGTTTAGCACTTGTTGGCCCCTTTGCCTTCACTCTGCGGTCCAGCTCACCCCAAACCATCTCGATTGGGTTCAGGTCCGGTAACTGTGGAGGCCAGGTCATCTGCCGCAGCACTCCATCACTCTCCTTCTTGGTCAAATAGCCCTTACACAGCCTGGAGGTGTGTTTGGGGTCATTGTCCTGTTGAAAAATAAATGATCGTCCAACTAAACGCAAACCGGATGGGATGGCATGTCGCTGCAGGATGCTGTGGTAGCCATGCTGGTTCAGTGTGCCTTCAATTTTGAATAAATCCCCAACAGTGTCACCAGCAAAACACCCCCACACCATCACACCTCCTCCTCCATGCTTCACAGTGGGAACCAGGCATGTGGAATCCATCCGTTCACCGTTTCTGCGTCTCACAAAGACACGGCGGTTGGAACCAAAGATCTCAAATTTGGACTCATCAGACCAAAGCACAGATTTCCACTGGTCTAATGTCCATTCCTTGTGTTTCTTGGCCCAAACAAATCTCTTCTGCTTGTTGCCTCTCCTTAGCAGTGGTTTCCTAGCAGCTATTTGACCATGAAGGCCTGATTCGCGCAGTCTCCTCTTAACAGTTGTTCTAGAGATGGGTCTGCTGCTAGAACTCTGTGTGGCATTCATCTGGTCTCTGATCTGAGCTGCTGTTAACTTGCCATTTCTGAGGCTGGTGACTCGGATGAACTTATCCTCAGAAGCAGAGGTGACTCTTGGTCTTCCTTTCCTGGGTCGGTCCTCATGTGTGCCAGTTTCCTTGTAGCGCTTGATGGTTTTTGCGACTCCACTTGGGGACACATTTAACGTTTTTGCAATTTTCCGGACTGACTGACCTTCATTTCTTAAAGTAATGATGGCCACTCGTTTTTCTTTAGTTAGCTGATTGGTTCTTGCCATAATATGAATTTTAACAGTTGTCCAATAGGGCTGTCGGCTGTGTATTAACCTGACTTCTGCACAACACAACTGATGGTCCCAACCCCATTGATAAAGCAAGAAATTCCACTAATTAACCCTGATAAGGCACACCTGTGAAGTGGAAACCATTTCAGGTGACTACCTCTTGAAGCTCATGGAGAGAATGCCAAGAGTGTGCAAAGCAGTAATCAGAGCAAAGGGTGGCTATTTTGAAGAAACTAGAATATAAAACATGTTTTCAGTTATTTCACCTTTTTTTGTTAAGTAAATAACTCCACATGTGTTCATTCATAGTTTTGATGCCTTCAGTGAGAATCTACAATGTAAATAGTCATGAAAATAAAGAAAACGCATTGAATGAGAAGGTGTGTCCAAACTTTTGGCCTGTACTGTATGAATACCAATGTCAAAGTCTTGGCTGAGCATCTGAGCACATGTTCACTTGTACATTGATCTGCATGTGTATACATGAGTGCATGTGCCCACCATGCGGATGCCGTTCTCGAAGGCCTGCCTGGCCAGAGACGCTGGTCCATCCACAGTCTTTCCATCATCATCAGGTCCCCAGCTGGCGCTGTAGATGTCAATGTGCTGCGGCTGGAGACTCAAAGACTTGGCTTCCACCATATCTGTTACATCGCCATCCAGCATTCGCACACCTAACACACAAACACAGAAATAATGTGCACTGGTTAAATCTCTGTCCTGTGAATTTCCACAGAACTGGCTGGATAACGATATACATTAGGCAGCCAGGGCAGCTGCTTAATGTCCTGTCATCATAACAATAATGAATTAAACACAGGCAAATCAAGTCATTAATTAGGCTAATCTACACATTAATTAGCAAGTATTTCCATGTCAGCTTTTCCTACATAACACCTGGTTGTCTTGGTTAAACTCTGTATCTTCAAGCATTAGAAGTTATGTTTTAAAATGTATACTAAGCAGGATTTTCCTAAAAAAAACAAACATGTGGTCTCATACAGAAGTAATCCCTCTCAACCATCACTTATAACCCATAAGAAGCGTGTGGCGCTGTATTTATCTGCCTTTATATTTTAATTTTTTTCTTCTTTGCTGTTTTCAGGATGTTCCCGGGCACAGGGCACAGGTGAGGTTGGGACTTTTCAAAAACATAGCAACCAGGTGGCAGACCATAGGCAGCACTCATCCTACAGGGAGCAACGAATAACGGGGACACACTGCTAACTTTTGTTTCTTTATTTTCCTTGCCTTTTTGTCAGGCTTGGAGGTTTTTGTGGGTTTGTGAACACAGCCCAGGGGTGGATAATTGATCAGTTGATCCAATCAGAGCCGATCAGATCAGATCGATAGATGAGAGAAGCAGCGGTTTGTGAGGGGAAAGCAAACTTTTAGACCCAGCGCAGTGAATGGTTAAGTTTTGTTTTCACTATGCCTGACGTTCTGTGCCCAGAGAACGCTCTAAGCTCCTAGAATGTGGTGCAATGAATAACCAAACAGTGTATATATTCCAACAGTGCTCCTTATGAACAGTCCTGCACAAAATATAGAAAATCAAAATGTGGCGGCAGATGTTTTAATTTTGCCGGGCCGCCACAAATATATGAATGTGTGGGAAACCCTGCACACTGTTCCTTTGATGTAATAGTTTTGCTCCCCTTTAATAGGCAAATCTCTGCAATTACAACTCTCTGTAGGTTCCCATGATTCCAGGTCTTATCACATATTGGTTTTCACTTGTTGTGTTTATAAGAATGAAAGTGTGTAGAAGTAATCAGACAACACCATGATGATATCATGGTGTGTGGGACAATAAGCATATGATCAGTCAGTGACACAAAGACAAACTTAAAACACAGAGTTTATTTTTGTTAAAGCAGGTTGGAGGAATAATTCTACAGTGTCAGAAACTAGACAAATGTCACTCACCTCCTATTCTGGCATTGTAGGCAATTCCCACAATGCAGTGGGAGTTGTTTGCGGCTGCAGCAACTTCGCCTGCACACCGCGTCCCGTGTCTGAGGAAAGAGCGGGAATGAGCAGCTTACTACACAATTCTGGGACACACGTGTATACACAAGCAGGAGAGCACACACAAACTACCAGATAAACATGCAGCTTTTGAAGTGGAGAGCAAGGACACTTACACGTAAACACACGTTTTCACAGATAAATGTGAGCATTCCTGTTGATGCAATCCTAAACAAAACTGTTTAAGAGTAATAAGTGTTACAAATGTCGCAAACACTATAAATATTTCTACAGTCCTTGCTTTTAACCACAAACCCTAACAGAGAACAGAAGAGGAGGTAGTTTAACATTTGTAACGCTGTCACGACAAATATGTTTGGAGTTCCTCAGTGCCAGTGGTCCATAGATGAGTGAACACACACAAAATGAGGCACAGTGTTTGCCAGCATCCACACACACACAGACAGACACACCAAAACAAAAATAGCTGAAACAATGTCCAACATCAGTGATTAGATAAGACTACTCATACTTCTTTCAGCAACTAAAACACACACACACACACACACACACAAACACACACCAGGGTAACATTCCACCAGTGGTGACAATCGGCCCGGGTCAGCAACCAGCGTAAACAAACATAAGTATGTTTGCGTCCGCCGCCTCCTCAAAAACACCACTTCCTGGATCGGCACAAACACACTCGCGCACACACGCACCTCCTGCCGAGAACATCTGCATCATAACACCCCCCGGAAACAGCTCTGACCGCTGCTATGGAAACCCAGCATCTAGCTATCCAAACCCCCGGGGAAGACACTGGGAAGTTTTAAAGTCCAGGGAAGCACTCAGACTGAGGGAAATCTGTTTCACAGTAACTTGATAATTTCAACACTAACAACATGATCAAAGGTTTTTTTGTTGGTTTTTTTTTAAAAAAAAAGAAATACTGAAGCATCACCATCCTCACTCACTTAGGGTGTAAATGGAAACATTCATGCTTAGCAACTCCATCAAAAAAGGTCATCCTTCTCATTTCTTCCTACAAGCCTTCTATTGAATAAAATAAAAACGCTCGTGAGTAGAAATTCTATACCTCACACTTCACATTTCTTCACCCACAATCTGTCCTCCACTGCCCTCTACACTTGTATAATAAAAAACAAAACATACTCCTCCAGGTTTCGACCACTTTCCTTTAACTTATCATGAAATTAGTGGAGTGTTTTTCAACCTTTCTTCCCACCTGACAAAATGACTTTTGCCTGACCTTCTTCCTGTGCTGCCTACATAGTATTAAAGCTGCGTGGGGAGAAGGATTTCTATATCCACAAAGTAAAGACACTTGAAGCCTAATCAGAGCAGCACAAACAAGCACAAAATACTTTGTCATGGAAATATGCTTTTTCTCTTTCTTGCCTAGAGTTGACTGACATTCCTCCTCTTGTCTGCACAGTAAATGTGGCGCTACCTTCAGCAGTCCGTTAGCTTTGCTTAGCATAAAGATTGGAAAAAAGAGGGAAACCTTGAGCCAGGCTTTGTTAAGAGGAAAGAAAATTATGACAGAAGAGAGGGAAAGGCGGAGAGACACTGCACTGATGACGGGAGAGCCTGGAACCGTGATTAATCTGAGCAGCATGTATGAGAATGAATTATAGTACAATGAATTTCTCTCTTTTTTTCTGATGGTCTGAATAAGCAAGAAAGTCACCAAGCTGGCAACACTTGATGCCAAGCTAGCTTGACGCAGAGTGGCAGCAATTATTTAGCCAGTGGGACACACACCAGAGCCCTGTTTCCACCACGCAGTACAGTACAGTACGCTTTTTTTTACGTTTCCACTGTGAAAAGTTGCGGATGGTACCAATGGAACCGTTTCGTACTGTTCCCATTTTTGGTCCCCTCTCTGTTGGGGTACCTAGCACACAGATCTGGTACTAAAAGGTGGAGCTGTGAACACTGCAGTCCGTTGATTGATCAATAGAGGTTGGTCACTCCGCTCAGGGCTGAGTTGTGGCTGGTTTTGAGGCTCATGTAACCACTATTCATACCGTGGAGAGTTTTACAGTCATTAGTAAACTGTAACTATAAAATGAAAGGATGTTTTGCTGCCTCTTGCAGCAGCTGTGGTCTGAGAAAAATAATTCACTAGGCCGACTGCCAGTAACTTTTAAGGTGGAACGTTTACTTGTAATGTTACTCAATGCACAAGTTGATGACGTGAATCAATTAACACACCTTAAATTTCACTGTGACAACTTTGACCATTACTTTAGTTTTTATATGACGTACAATTTTAGTAATGAGTGGATCTTCAAGCGTTAATATACAGTATATTATTTGGCCGGGTTATGTGAACAGGCATATATCCCAATCCTCACTGAGAAAAAAAAAAAAAGCGTTGCGGAGTGTCGTTTCTGTTAACTACAGCAACACTAAACCTCCAAGCTTGTCTCAGAGACTGCATGCACAAACCCGCTGTTTTTAAATACTCTCACTGCAGCCTGTTCTATTTTGTTCTGAAAATGCTGGCGTGCAACCCCCTTCTGTGGACGATAAACGAGGTGCAGACTGATAGAGGAAGGAATACAGTGAGTGCTGGACAGAGCACTTAGTGACAACAACCCCACCCACATTTAAGAGTACTGTTTGCGGTGGAAATACTAGGGTCTAGGTACCATGTCTGAGGGTTACTTTTGGTTCCAAAGGTACCATACCGAAAGTGTTTGGTGGAAATGGGGCTATGCACTAAAATGCGTGTGCGGCCTGGCCGGCTACCACAACAAAGAACAGAGAAGCTCCGATTACGAGACACACAGAGGTAAGTGACTTCACTCTCTGCTCAGGATGCAATTTCTCCACTATATCTTTACAAATCCCATGGTTATTTGCTGCTATATTAAAACTCTGAGCGTCAAATACAGCACCTTTAGTCAACAACACCTCTGATGACTTGTGTTCAAGATATCTGACTTCAACAGGATTCTGGCTTTTTAGATATCGGAGCATCATTTCTATGTTTCAAAACTGAAAATGCATGAAAGGCATATCCCGTTTAAGTATCAGATGTGACGGCCCTTGTATCAATGTGGAAACCGCCTTTTTATCCTTTGTAGAGAATGACCTCACAAGTTTTCAGCAAAGTGAACACAAATGAAACTGTGTGGGTTTAAGTATAACATATCAAATGGCTGCAAATCAGTGATAGGCCCCTTTGTCACAGTTAATGAGCCAAACTGCTGGCTCCCTCTTTCAAAACGCTTCAACAGTCTTCACTCAGTTCACTTCACTCCACTAATCCATAAAATCGTCTGTCTGGCTGTCTCTCCAGTCTTTGTGTTTGCCTGTTTTTTCCATTTTCTACACATCTGTGTCACAGTCACTCAGGGATCTCTCTGTGTTCCATCCAGGACCATATAATGTTTGTGCAGCGGATAATAGTCAGTTGGAACAATACACACTCACACACAGCAATCATTCAAATGCAAACACGTACTTTTTAACTTTCTGAAAGTTTCAAAGGATACAGCCACTTAAGCTCACATTTAACTCTCTGTGGTACAGATATTTTTTTTATAGTTGGGTGTTTTGCCACTACTTCAACTAGCACAGTAAATATGTTCAGGCTTACTATAATTTCAGATTTTTAAAATACAGCTTCAGTTTATTTTTCGTAGTTTTCAGTGTCTGTTTACTTGTCATTTTCTCAGACAGGTAATATGGCAGGCCACAGATGCACATTAACTGTTCCCACTTCCTAGATCTATTTGGAGACCGATATTAAAAACTACAGTTACATTTTCTCTAAATTGCTTTGTGTTACAGAGTGGTAACAATGAGAGTTATAGGTCAAGTGTGTTGGATTTAATGGCTTCCACTGATGTATAAAGAGAAATGGATACAGCATTGGAGACATTGTGCTGTTCAAACCTATGAGAAGTTGCTCATTGGGCCATGAAGACAAAAAAGTTCAACTGCCGCGTTTAAAACGACTCGGATGTTCAGTACTGCTTCCGCACTGTATGGCCAGTAGAGCAGGCTCCTTCCGGTTTAGTGCTGCACTTAAATACGAATACAATTATTCAAATGGAACAAATTCTGATAGGGAAATAAGTCATTTTCCAGGGGTTGTAACACTCAGAAAAATATATCCACTGATTTCCAGATGTGTCCTTTGCTATGCAAGTCTGCGAGGAAAAGTCTTCTTGGGCCACAGAGCTTTACATGAAAGATGTTCCTGGGGCCTAAGGCAATCTAACAGTGAGGTTGCAGAATGCAACCAACTGCAACTTCTCCTGTGTGCCATTAGGGGTGTAACAATCCATCGATCTGGATCAATATATCGATTAAACAATCAGTGATACAATGTCATCGATGCAAAGTGAAACCATCAATCATATCATCATCTTTAGGATGCGCATTTATTTTGAAAGTCTGTGTCACCATCAAATAGGGGCAGGCAAATGGCAAGCAGCCATGCAAAGGACAAAGAGGATATTGTTGTTTACTCTGGAATAAACAACAATCAATCATATCAATCGCAGGAATCAAAATCATATCGTGGCAGACTTTGTTATATTGGCAAATATCGTATTCTTGTCCAAAGAATCGATATAATATCGTATTGTGATGAAACTGGTGATTTACACCCCTAATAGATATGAACATTATATTCCATTTCTAACAATATATCCCCCTAAATCCTACACACAAGGGGTTATAGCAGAAATCAGTCTGCAAGAAAATGAAGAGCTTTGTCATCTACAGAATCTGAAGATGTGCAAGTAAATCTGCTCGTTTCAAATGGCAGGTGAAGAAACCCAAAATTCCCAAAGCACAAACACTACATTACAAAACTGTCAGGACACTCTGTGACCACTTTCTGTCATTTTAACAAAAGGACATCTGACTCAGACATAACAGGAATTTCCACAATTTGATTTGTCATATTGTCCTTTTAAATCTGTGGTGGGCAGGATGGGTTATCTGTGGACAACATTTAAAAGTCTGCAAACACAAGACTAATTCACTGGTAAAGCAATAGATGCTGGTGCATCTAAATGTGTTACTTCTTACTTGCCTTTAGTCCTGCTTACATCCAAAGCGCAGCTGTTAGCACTGCTTGTACACACAGACAACAACAGGTTAAAATCCACAAGAATTATGTCATTCTTGTTGCTATACAACACATAGTTTGACAACAATCCACAGTTTGCCAGATGTAGCTAAAGTTAGCGTTGAGAGTCTGTGTGTTTCTTGCCTTTCGGGCAGGATGACCAGTTTTAGCTTGCCGGCCACCACACGCCAAACTTTTAAATCTATTCCATTAGACTCACTATTCCCATGGGAGACATGACCTCTGTGTTTTGATTAAACTAAAATTAACTCCAGTCTGTAAATCCCATAGGATAATTTCTTGGACCAAGAATAGCAATATGAAAAGTCAAAGAGGAAGAACCAGATTTCTGTCCACACACACAACATCACAGGCAACTATGAATTCAGCCTTAAAAGGAAACCAGCTCATTAAGCTGCATCTGTAGGCCTCATGTCTCTTTAAGACAATGCATTACCAGCAGGGACTGAGATGCTGCCAAGGCACTTGGGCTGCTGCAGCCAAACACACACACACAAACACACACACACACACACACACACACACACACACACACACAAACACACACACACACACCAAAAATCACTCACTAAGCCAAACTGGCACAAGACAAGTGCCTGGACAAGCAAGCCTCTCTTTTTTTCCCTCTTACACACTCACACTTGCATGTGCACTTGCACACACATACACACACACCAATACTTCCAAACAGAAAAACCACAACCCTCCCACAAATGTCACAATCAAATACAATAATGTAACTCATCGCACCCACAACAAGGTCAGGGCTCAGCAAACACAAACATATTGAGGCTAAGAGCTTCTGGTGAAAATCAATCAGGAAAACACACAGAAGAGCGTCTAACTGACTGTGACCCTAAAATACTAAAAGACAAATCCTAATTTTCACTCTAACAATTAAAATAAAGTTTCTCTCTCATTAGATCTGTTTAGATTTGTTTTTCTTACTTGTTCTCGTTGGTTGCGTCGTATCGGGGCATGGGGTCCATGTCGTTGCCGTTGACGTCAAAGCTGGCTTGAGGGTCCTGCAGGAGACACAGAGGTCAAAACAAGTACATCAAACACCAAAATGACAGTTGCAATAATGATCAGGGGAGAGAAAACATCCAGCAAGAAAATTCATTAGAAAGGTATGTCCAACACTACCCGTGTGTGTATGCGTGTGATAGACCTGTGGAACGTCAAGCAGCCTCTCTAGCCCAATCAAACAGTTCACATTAGCATCACACAGTTTTGTAAATCGAATGCAATCAGAGCAAACTCAATCTGCTGCGCATTCACCCTTCGGCACAAACAAATCCAGGCATTAAGAGTAGCTAATAACAGCAGCACAGGCACTGTCAAACAGGGTGTGAATCATTTAATCTGCACAGTTGATTGATGGCCTTACCTGCCGCCTCAGGCCAAGAAGTTGCTCTAACTGTCTGGCCTTGGTCTGACTGAGGTAAACATACCTCAGCATGCACATCAAGTATGTAACTACACACAAATAAACATGTACACACCACATAACTGCACACACACAGGTCTGAGGGAGCTCTCCGCCAAAGTGTAATCCATGACGCATGATTATGTGAGGCATATTACCATTAGTATTGCAATCTGGTTGATTATTTGATTTCTGCAAAGTGATTTCACGCTTTCTGTAACATTGCTTAGTTACATGCAACAAATAGTTCCTACTTACAAGATCTAATTTCTGTTGTATAATCATAATCATCTCTGATTTGAATTTATCTCATGATCTGAATACCTCTTCCTAGGGCTGTACTGAATAAGCTTCATTCATAACATTGAGATTCTAAACCAACACTGAAATACAGCACTTTTGTTTTTGTTTTTTTTGCTAGTCTATTCATTCTGCTTGAATCTAATACCCCTGCAAAGCTACGGATAAAGATTTGGCTACTCAAAAATAGTATTATTCTATTTGTACAATTAGTTCCAGTGGCAGCTGCTTAGGATTTTTTGTGACTCAAACATTTCCAATAACTCCAGAACTCCGTTAAGTCTACAAATCAAAATTTTTGGAGTGAAGATTAGGGCTGCCCCCTGAAAGTCGAAAAATCGAGTAATCAGTCGGAGACCTCTCTGTCAAGCAGGCTTTGCCCGGTCACGCTCTGAGATAAAGTTATCTACTGCCTTCTGCTTAGAAGTGGTGAATTTTACAGCTCACAGCAACTTTTTACGATATAACCTCTGACATTTGTTTGATATCTAGTGCTGGCAAAAAATATTGTTGCACATTTCCGATCCGTCGTTAGCGTAGTTAGCATGCATTAGCTCACAGGCCTAACATGGCTTGTTTTCTAAATTACGTGAATGTCACAATCACCCTGAACATCTCACTGAACCCCATTCAAACTTTCAAATCTTTAACGAATAGGCTACTCAAATATTTGTAATGAACAGCCAAATCCAATTAATCAGACACTATGCTAAGTTGGGTTCAGCCCTAAAAAATGTAGATGTAATCATTTCCAAAATTTCCAACATGTGTTTATGTAACTAAATACTGTGTTTCAATCCATATTTGTTGCTGTTCAGCCATTCAAAAACAACATTTTCACTTTGGTCAAAAAACTGTATGCACCTGTATTAATGAGGCTGCACCATAAATTACATTTATTCATTCATTCAAAAAAAAAAAAAAAAAAAAAAAAGTAACTCATTTAGTCCGATGAATCACATTATTCAAAATGATGTTTTGTTTGAGGATTTTCTTTTTCTTTTCTAGAGTGATGATGTCATAAAATATGAAAACAGAATTTCAAAGTTCATTCGGAAAACCTTTATAAAAACTTGAAATATTAAAAAATGACAGCTCCAGTTAAGTGGAATAACAGCTTGGCCGGTGCCTTGGGAATTTATATTCCAGAAAATCTAAAAGATCTAGTGAAGATAAATTACGAGTGTAAATAGAAATTAAAAAAGTTTTACAACCTTGGAGAGGGAAATTTCTGTCATTACAAGGAAAGATTACATTGATTAATAATCTCAGAATTCTTCAGATCATTTATCTCTTAATGGCACTTCCCTCCCTGGAGGGATCCTTCTTAAAATGTTATAAACAAAAAAATGACATTTGGTACAACCCTACGTTTTTGCACAAAAAAGACCATTACTGTTGAAATATTCCTAATCAGACATCTATATTCCTGTTATGCATGTGGCTTTTTAATCCTGAATCAGACACACTTACAGCCACACACACAAAAGCAGGTTACATAAACATTTCTTTACCTCCCCAAACCTCACACACAGACATACACAAATTAACACTGACGACTGAAGACTCCAACATGCACAGACACACACACTGCCGCTCATAGCCGCCCTACACCCGCATACATACACACTCACGTAGTTCTGAAAGAGGTCTGGGTGGTTCCTCTCGATGCCGTCATCTAGTATCGTGACCACCACATCTTTACCCGTGTAGCCTCTCTTCCACGCCCCCATGATGTTCATGTCCGACTGGCAGTTATGGACATCATCATTACAGTGCTGGAGAGACGGTGGCAGGAGGTGTGATGAAGGAGAGAGGAGGGGGAAAACCAAACAAACACATCAGCTTCTTGCACATGCACTTTAACTTTACGAGTGTGCTCGCATAATGAAATTCTCAACTTAACTTACAGCAAGTGTGATCGGTTTTTCATATGGAGGCACAGTCACATGCAAACACGTCCAAACAAGTCAAGTTACAAAGTGTATGAAAAAGTGAAATCGCAGGCAGCTTAGTTAAATCATATCATCGTATGTCTTAATTTACTCTTGCTCAGCTGGCTCTCAACCCGTCACGACACATGTAAATGTTGCTTTGAGTGATTCAGTAACCTTTACTGTAAATGTTTTTCAAAAGCACTGCATGTGCCATGAGTTGTTTTTTGTTTGCCTGCCAAACAGACACATAGATACCAAAAATACATCTGACTTTTATGCAGATTTTTCATCTGTCTTATTGCTACAGAACTAAACTTCTCACAAGTCACTATAATCCAATTTATATCTGACAAAGTGTATGTAGCTTCAATGTGATTCAAAGTCCCATCTGGGTCACTGATACTGCTTAATCTTATGTCTTTTAATCTATTTTAAATTAGATACGTAAATATACAGATGGAAAAACTGATAAAAACATGATAGCAATGTTTGACTCGAGTAATCTTTTATTTCCAGGTAAACCTGAAAAACACACACGAAGGTCACAGAGTTCTGTTCTAAAGCTAAAAAAATATGTTTAAAATCTCTGGTCAAAGTATGAGCACTTATCTGCACTGAGTTAACAATTGACAGAGCAGAGGACACTGAACCACACACATACACAAATACATAACTAAAAGAGCAATGATCTGAGGGTGTAAACACTCGTGATAAGCCTGCCAATCTCTGCAATGTGAATTGGACCATACTGCATGAGTGTGTGTGTGTTTCTGTGCTCAGGCGTGCATGACACTGCAGATCTCAGAGAAACGTTTTTAAAATGCAGGGACACAGAAACATGTATATTTCTACATGAGGAGTAAACACAGAATGATTTACCTCAACCCTACAGTGTCTCTTTTCAAATTAAGGAAAGCCCAAAATGTCATCACCATGGCTCTTCTTTTGTTTCATTCAGTAAAACACACACACACAAATCCCTCAGCTCCACTGACCCTGCAGTAATCAGGATCATGCCATGACCTCGGCTGACCTGTGACCCACAAACTGGATAAATGCGGGTAAAGAAAAGCACAAAATCCTCTGAGAAGAACAGACCAAAACAAAAGACATGACCCCAAATTGTAAATTATATATTCTTGCTTTGGTGCAGCAAGTGTGAGAGAGTGAGTGAGAGAAATTCTCTGGTACGAGTATACAGTGTACTCACAATGTACCACATACTGCTCCACTTAGCGTCATTATAGAATATGTTGCTCTGGGCTGGGCTGCTGTGGGCGGGGCTTGTCAGAGAAAGGGGCGGGGATGGCTTGTAATCCCTCTTGATCCTCCTCTTCACCACCTGCTGCTGTATCCACTCCACCTGAAACACACAAACACGGGACATATAGCAAAAACTGAGCACGCATCTAGTAATACCACACAGCAGCAGAATTACTTCACACATAGTACAATCAGTCGACAGGTGGGATTTCATCAAAATGCCTTTTAAACGATGCGTTCATGGTGACACACTCTTCAGGAAAACATACTTTGTGCTGTATCTTTGACAACAAGGTGAATATATAGTGGCTGTATTTCCTCTTCTTTGCTTTATGTGTTGAACTCACACACACACACACACACACACACACACACACACACACACACACACACACACAGATAAAGACCATCCCCAGAGAACAGATTCGGCTGGTATATTGTGGCACCCAACCAGCACAGAAAGGCAAAAAATCAGAAAGCAGCAGAAGAGAATTGAATTTTTCAATGAATGAGCCATGAATTCAGATGACATTTTTAACTGCAGGAGACAAAGCTGAAGAGAAATGCAGTTTCTCACAGGTAAAGGTAATTATTATTTCAAAGAAAAAAACATTTTCAAAAGTGACAACATTTCCCATATAAAGGTAGCGCAGGTGAGCAAATAAAGACAATAATATTTACAACAAAAAACAACCTACTGAGAGAAATTTTAGCATATAAAGTACAAGTGAAAGATAAAATACATCTAGTTACTTCCTATAACTGTACTTTTTGTTCTGTTAATGCTCCAGGGACATTTTATATACGTTTTAGGACTGCCCTCTTATTGCTATTTATCGGAAATTAGTATGGCTGCCCCTCTAATAGTCTACCAAACTTTAGTCAACCAGAAAAGTCATTAGTGGGCAAGATTTCATTAGCCCCTTTTACACTGCCAGATTTTCCGCGAATGTTGGGCCATTTTGCCGGCAAGCTGCGAACGTTTAGACACACAAAGCCGGATTGGCAAGTTGACCCGAGGTGCCCAATTTTCCGCCTCGTAGGGTAGTCATAGTGGCGGAACCCTTTAGTTTAAACAGTCCTAGGCGGCCTTCCACAACGGGAGGGGCTGTTGATGATGCCGCACGTGCGAGCCACTGGCGGTGGATAAACAGGAAACAGCTGATAGCAGGAATGAGCAGCTAGTAGAAAGAGGGAAACACAAACCTGACAGACACTGTAAAGATGAGCAACTGAGGAGACAAGGAATTGTGCGCCCTCCTTGCCCTCGCAAACTAAGAGGCCATTAACCGTCAGATGATGGGGATGGTGAGGAACGGGCCGACTTACAAGAGAATCGCAGAAGGACTGACCAGCCGCAGCTTCCCTCCCACGTCACTGTTTATGTCACACGCTGAGCTACACGTTTTGTTACTTGCTCACGCCCCCCATTGCCCAGAAAAAGGCACATTCTGTATAAACAAAATTAGGTAGGCGGCATTTTGCTGCACTCCCCGATTTTGTTTTTATACTGCCAATGCTGAAAAAAGACTGATTGGGCTTTTCTGCAAATTTGCACAATTCCTATCTAAAAAGGTCTATTGGTTGCTTAGTCACAGAAAAACAAACAAACAAACTTGAAACTATAAGGAGCTGCGTCTTGTCAAAAAAAATCCAAGGTGATATGTAAACTCATCTTCATTGGTAGACTACAAACATGACGTACCATCAGAAACATGTCAGTAGCTACATGCCCATTAGCCACTTAGCACAATCATTACTGCTTTGCGGACAGCGTCATTAACAGGCGGCTCGCTCAGTGTGTGACGTGCACTTGTAGATAAAATATAGGCCTATATTAATGAAGGTTCATTAGTACAGTTTTGTATTTCTCTGTAATGAAGCACAGTGTTAACAATGTTACTGATACTATTCTTTCTCACACCTTCAACTCAAACCATTGTGTTGCGTAAACATGCAGGCGACTAGTTGATTAATAGCCCTAAATGACAACTATTGGTGGACTAGGAATATTCTTAGTCAGGGGCAGCTCTACTTTACTCTCAACGTAGGCTGTTTGATGGCTTAACAGCTGTGTTGCACTCCAAGTCTGTCTTTGCAGTAAAGATGAACAGAGTATGCCCTATGACAATAAGGGCATGGATGGATAACATAGCTGCCCTTGATTATCTATAGTTGTATTGCTTTAACCTCAACTGCACCCACTTGTTTTGACGTATTTGGTCATTTTATTAGTCAATATATTTTGTATATGCCGTGCTTAAAAACACAATCATCATTTGATCACAAAAAATAAAGTACACCTAAAAGATGTATCAGCAGAATCTTGATATATTTCCCTGTATCCTGGACTGTATCCATCTAAAGTTAGACTTTTATTTATTCTAGTGTTGGCCTACAAGAGTTTTACAGTGGACTAGATTTTTTCTCTCCATCAGTTCATTTCTCCCTGTCTGCAAAATGGACAGAGTGATATGCACACATATGCACCGAAGACATAAATGTCTCTCAGGTAACATCAATCTCTCAAATGTTATGGGCTTATTTCAAGGCGCAAGGCATTCCTTGGCAGGAATCTCCCTCCGCTTTCAGACGGAATTTTCCGATTTCAAAATCAGCATTGTTGGATCTGAACAAGAGGGCTGGACCCACTCGCTTGGCCCTGGTCACCTCTTTTTAAAACCCTGAAAATCTTGTGTTTAGTCTAGCCGAAGTCCTGCAGACCTCATCTGCCTTAAACGACTCCAAGAGAAGTTTACACGGACTGGAAATGCTGATGACACAAAATTGAAATATTAGCAACACACACACATGATACACATGTGTCAAGCAACATGAGAGCATCCTGAGATGTAAATATTTCTGCCAAAATGATTGATGGATTCTTCAGACTGCAGTTTGCACATAAACATGATTGTGTGACAGCTTACACAGGCTACAGTGGGATCCCTCAGGAATGCAGCATGTCCAGATGAAGTGTTGTGGAGCTACTGTTTATTTATACAGTAAATAATGTGCGCTCCTCCTGAAACAATCAACACACCATCTACTGTGAACTCAAAGCATCTACGCATTATGTGCAGACAGACAGACACCGCTCTCATAAAAGATCAATCAATAGAATCATTTTCATGCTGAAAACTGTGTTTTGTTGCTCAGTTTGCCAAATCCAGGAGTGTGAGGCTTTAGTGAACAATGTCCGACTGCAAAGACATTACTCCACATCAATACAGCACCAGCAGAAAGAGAGGAGAGGCGAGAAAAGCTGACATAATGACTGCAGAGTGATTATCTGGTCTCATGCACTGAAATAATGTGCCAGGCTCTCTGGAGAGTTGGAGAGGGAGGCAACGAGACAAGATAAGACGAGAGAAGGAGAGGTGATAAAGAGCTGAAGAGAACAAGTCCCAGGAGAGTCAATAAAAAAAAGACTGAGCTGGAAGAGTAGGGAAGTGAAAACAAAAAGCAAGTGAGACCAAAAGACAGCAATTGAAGGGAGGGATGATTGATTTTATAAATAACACTGATTTAATAACTCAAGTATGTAGCTCTTTATAGATCACGAAGGAGTGACAGCAGAAAAACGATTGTGTAAGTGACGTACTTTAATAACATGAGAGCGCAGACCTCCCTTTTAAAGGAGCAAGATATGGGAGAAAAGGAAAGACAGAGACAAAGAGTAAAAAACACAGTGAGACGTTTAGTTTTAGCCTGGTGCTTCTCCTTCTGCCGAGGTCTCAGCTCATTTCACTCCAAGTTCTGTCAGGACCATCAGCTTCAAAGCAACCGTTTACACACGCCATTAGCCTCAAAACAACACTGTCATCAGGAATTGTGCATGTGTGTGTCCGCGCGAAAGCACTGGTGTATCATTACAATTTGCATACATTAGCGCAGCATCAAGCTCAATCTTTGATCAGCAGTGTAACTTTTAACTGCTTGTGTCCGTAACTTGGTAATTCAAGGGAGGTCTGACGATTAATGCATCGCTGCCTCTCATCTCACCACCAATCCTCTCCACCATTAATTCCTCTAGAGACTGACGAGACGGAGCAAAGACTTTACAGATGGCGAAAAAAAGGAATGATTTTGCTGAAGTTGGATCCCAATTAGTGTGTAGTTCACCTCAGATGTCTCTGATAAGACTCAAGGGTTTTAAGGGTTTCAGAGCACTTTGCTGAAGTTGCCTAATGAACAAGGACACCAGCCGAAGAACCTAGGTTTCATGCATCTGCCTTCTGGCAAGTATCTACTCCTGTCAAGTGTCCTTGAGCAAGACACTGAATCCATTCCACCTCTGTCAGGTGCTGCTCTGCAGCGGAGGAGGACCTCCATCCTCCCTAAGGAGGTAGCAAGTATAGCAATTTAGGATCTTTGAAGTATTGGCATCATTATTGCCACATACCTATATACTGACTTAGCGCAGTGGATAAAAAAGGGTCATAAAGCACCTTTAATGCATTGTTTTATCTGCAGGAGCAGAAACACTCAAGTGTTCATCTACTTTATGCAGTTTGGTCCAGATGATAATTGGTTTGCTGTCTGCACTTTCTACTGCTTTAGTGACACTTTCTGAAAAATGAAATGTTCAACCCAAAAATCATCCTCTTTTCAGAGTTTTCATCCGATTACTTTATAGGTCTATGTGCTGAAAACTGCTCTGAATGTTTTGACAAAACAAAGGGAGAAGATAGATAAAAAGGTTGGATATTAAATTTGTAAAGAAGAATTATGTTGTCAGTCTACATCTAAAGTAGTATGAGACAGATTCAGCAGTTCTGCAGCGGCAGGTGCTGCAAGAATCTCCCATTGATCAACAACGTCGTCATTTTCACACCACTCATTCTCACAACTGCACATTTTCTCTTTCAGAAGCATGGGGAGAGGGAAACTACTTCTAAAGCCACAAGAAAATAATTTAAGCAAACCGTGACCAACAATATCAATATGAGTACACAGGCAGAGGAAAATAAATGAGTCCAGGGGTTTCATTGGGAATGTGGGCGATGCCGACATTAATATCATGATATCTAAACAACTCTGCTGGTGTTCATATATATATATATATATATATATATATATATATATATAAAAAAACAC